AAACGGATGTCGCGGGGCCCGGAAGGGAGGAGGCCCTCTCCACGGTGCGCTGCGCAAACGAAGGTTTCGCCGCCGTCCTTAACCCTGAATGTTAGAGCGGTGGCGGCTAAAAGCGAGTACTTTTACTTTTACCGCGGCGAGAGCGGCATGACGCGCGCCGCAAGCACCGTTCTGGCCCGCCGCGCCGCCCCGCTCGGCCGGTTGCGTCAGCGCGTCTCGAACCACGAACACTTTTCTATTCAGCTCCGTTACGTGATAGCAAGCGTATTTCGGGAGACACTACACCGCACTACTAGTTAAGTCGAATGTGGCATCATAGAAATAGGTTTTAGTAGCTCAAGGGAACTGATGCCCCTGCAGTGCCTCCGACTGGGAAGTCCTAGAATTCGAGTCCCGACGGTGGCAGAATATTCGACACTAGCTAAATAACGAGGTCGAATTCATCCGCTGCCAGGGGGAGAATTCTATAGGTCGGCTGCTCTGACGGTTGCTCTCAGTAGTTTTTCATGGTTTCTCCTATCAACACCAGGCGAATGCCAGAGCATTACCCTAACAAACGGGCCGCGGACCGCCCGAGATCTTCCTTGTCCAATTCTCACGCCTTACTTATACACACTTACAATACATGCTTTACACTACCACACACGTCAGGAAGTAAGTCGGGAGCTCAGAACTCATCCTGTCTGGGGCAGTGCGTCGCCGATGGGAGACTCTTGGTTGGCGATAACCCAGCAAGCCGACCTGTAGGTCGGCCCTGGATCTAGACATCCAGCCGGGAAAGATCACAGCCACCACATCCCGCGATAAAAAGAAATGAACTACACTTACTGATGACGTTAGCAGTTGACGCGCCTGGAAACACTGATCAATCAGTCATTATATAAATCATCAACAGCCTCTCACTGACACTGACATTCTTGATAACTGCACTGATGGTCACGTGCAACATATGACACCACGATACCACAGAATTATTCTTCCATAATGATTGATAGAATGAAGAATGAACATGAAGACATGTTTAGCATTCCTTTTTCGAACGTAGGCAAACTTGAGCGAACTGGGGATGTGGCACTCTCATTTATTTTCTCATTACAACTCAAGAATGTTCGCACGAAAACAATGAATTTGCCTAGCTATAACTGAAAATTTTAACAAACATCCATTTAAAGATACTATTATTTTCATGAATTATTCTTTTATTAAAATTTGGTCTTCTACTCCGAGAATTGATTTTAAAGACATAATTTTTTAAAGCGCGATAAAAGTGAGCTCTCTGCTTTGACGTGCGTATCCTCACTGGGTTGCTCAATAAGAGAATTAATTTTGAAATTCTCACGTGTTTTTTGACACGATTTGTATCAATCCTTTGTATACTCTTTCTAGTGACGATATCGAATAAAATTTAATCACTCGTAAACACTATCGCTAACCCTGAATGGGGATTCCAGACATTATTAGCTGTCGCTACAGCCCATCTGACAGGCCGAAGAATATATGTCGCAGAGCGATGCGCTCCGTGGAAATAACTGTCTGCTTGTCTGATCCGGGAATATCCGCGCGCACGGCTGACCGCCTGGTCCGGTGACCGCCGTCAAAGGTTACATTTCGCGGACCGTGACGCGTGATGAAGCATTAACTATCGTGGAGTGACGATAGGTTTGATCAATCGCCCTGTCATGGGCTCGACAGTCCAAAGCGATTCACTTTGAGGCGCACGGATAGCGAGCGCGTCAATCCCCCAGGGGGGAAGTGAGGGAAGTTGCTGTGTGCTTGCAGAGGCTTCTCATCCACAACGAAAACATCCGTCATATCCATGGCCTTCAATTGTATTGAAATTAGCTTAACAAAGGAAACCTTAACCTCGCCTCTTAAAATGTTTCAGTTAAATTACTTTTATCAAGGCTTCATAAAGAATTTTAAACAATTTAATTATTGTTTGGAAAACTTCACCGCATAAATATAAAACTGTCATGGAGTAGAGGTGAATTTCCTTTATCCGAGTTTCGATTATTCGGGGATCCAATTATCAGCGGCTTGGTTTATAATGAATATTATAAAAATAATAATTTAAAAGAAAAGGTCAGAGATATGTCTCTAATCTGTAACCGCGAAATGATACAGTTTATTTAATCAATTCGTTAGTAAATGGATTCCGAAATGATTGCAGAAAATACGGACAAAAATTATAAAAGAAATACAAAGTAATAACTAACATACTACAAACAAATTTGCATTATGTGCTAAAGTGGCAATAATTCTTAGTTTACATTCTAATTAACACTTTTGAAACATACAAAATATTTATTTTATCCGAGTGTTTCAATTTTCCTTGAATTCCCTTTCCTGTCATTACCCCGGATAATAGAAATTCGACGTAAACTACATAAGAACAACCATCAACATTTTGAGATGATTTCTTTAAAATATTAAATGACCTGGTACCATTTCGGAGTAGCCTTCACACAATTTTCAAAACCTGCTTACCATTTAAGTTTTGTATTTTCTATGAATAAAATGTTAATTGCTGCATATGATATGTAAAGTTACATGGTAGTTAATTAACCCAAAACCAGTCGTGCCTCTAATTAAATTGCAAGTTTTGTAGTTGTCAAAAATATATGAATCGCACGGAGGCTAAAGCAATCTTATGAAAAGAAGCAGTGTCGAAAAACGAAAACATGTCCCCAATGATGACCCCAAACATTAGCTCCGCCTCGGTCGTGGGTGGATACGTGTAGCGTCGGCGACATTGTTCAGAGGAGAAACCCCATTAAGCGGACGGAAGACTGGGGAGGAAAGAGAGAACGGGTGCGTGACGCAAGCGAAATTGACGGCAGGCGCTCAATCTACAATCACGTAATTTTCTTCCAATAGTCAACAGGGATCAAACGCTTACTATCGGATAGTTATCTATTATTAGAAACTAAGTACGAATACTAATATATGCAGTTTCTTTTACAGTATTGCAATAAAACTACGTTTAAAATAGCATTGAAAGCCAATCCCATGTATCAAGAAGTGGTAAAATGTGCAATTAAAGTGCATACATTGTTCATATGAAACATATTACATGAACATATACAGAGATATTCGAAGTACGAATGCGATGCAAAAGAAAATATACCCAGAATTAAATGGTAACACATCCCAGTTCAAAGTAGCTCGATTTTCTCTTGTCATCTGTGAGAAATTTAATTTTGTTTGATGTGTAATGTGTCTGTCAATTTCTAAGAATTTTAAAGCTTCACTTTTTATATAATATAATTTACATCAATACTTGTTTCAAATAGTATTCTCGTTTGTACGTGTCATGGTGCATCCAAACGAACTAAAGGGATTCTGGACGGTAATAATATTGTTACTTTATACTGGATTCGAGTGCAGAATCGCAGTTTTTCCTGTAAGAATCCCTGAAAATACCATCCATATCTCCCTGGAAAATGAAATACTGATGAATTTTTCGTATATTCATCAAAGTGTGTAGGCTTGTATTGTACATACTACAAAAAAAATTCAAGGATCAACAGTTGAAATTATTTCATCACAAATGAGAGCGCAAAAGCATGATACTTTCTCAAGAACCATAATATAAGAAAGTAAACACAGTTTTTAACTCAAGTAAACATTTTTTGTCAAACACCATCTCACTCAAGATACCTGTATGCGTGAATACAACACATGTTGAGATGCGCCTTCCCGATGTCGGACGACTCATCTCAAGGCCGACAGGTAGAACCGTTTATCTTAATGACATGACGTAATGTGCATGCGAAGGAAGAGATGGAATCGCATTGGACTGGGTCATTGTCAAAAGAGGAAGTCTCACGGCAGGAACTGCACTCGGTATAAAGGTGCAACGAGATATTGCCAGAGTATCTGACCAGGAAGTTCAAATTACATTTTAAAAATCGCGTGCGTTTGAAATCATTCCCAAACCCATGAAGATTGTGAATCTAAACCTGTCTAGCCTATGTTTATGACAACCAATAGAAATCACAGACATACAACCTCAATCATAATATCTTCCATAATGCGCGCCACGCGCACTCGTGTTTAGGAATCAAAAGAACGAATTTCTGACATTCTACTACATTCTAATACATTTACAGTGTATTAGTATTCTTAGTTGTAATATGTAAATTGTAGTGTTTTGACACCAGGTTCTATACCTAGACTCCTGCACAAATAATAAATCTATCTACTTAACGTCAAAATATATTCGTCAGGATGGCACGCCCACAGACAACGATATAACAGTCATGTATTAATGTTCACGTGAACAAGAATAGTCACTCTTCGAGAAGACTAATTATCAAGCACAGGAAGGAAACTTGTTTTTATGCTAAATGCTTCTACGCGTTCTGCTAGGCGCAAGTAATTGCGTTCGTTATGATCATCAGAGCTGAAATAAATATTATTTCCGGACAAAACCATGTGGGAATGTAGCCTTGACTTGGCGCAAAATCATAATGCCTGCAACTTCAGGCGTTATCCAACGTGCAAACCTGAAACATAACGGACGATCTTTTCAAAACGCAATGAAAAATATATTAATATTGTTTGTCTTAAATGTATAACAGAATTTGCTGAAATTCCTCTCTTAACAGGCACAATAAGAAAGCGTCACTCATGTTGAATTTTGATTTTCCTTGAATGAAGTGTAATATATTGCTTGAAATGTGTTGCTTCCAGTTCCAAGTTCAGGATTCAATTTCAAAATATATCTTGGAATCTTTCGGTACCTTTTTTTGGAACGTTAGATTTTGGCATTTATTTTTAAAAAATCTCGAAAATAATATAATGTTTCACACCATTAAATAACGCCAAAAATTATACAAATTGTCTAAAATGCATAATTTATTTAAACGCTTATTAAAACCCGCGTTTATTTTTCAGTTAGAATTGTACGCTTTCCACGATTTTACATTTATGGATTCAATTTGAGTTCCTTAAAATCGTTTGCGAGAACCTAAAATAACGAATGCTTCTTTCCGCAGATGCTGCCGGTTCTGGAGAAGCTGCGATGGCTCTACCAGCCGTACGTGCTGGGAGTCGTGTCGGTGGGCTACGTGCTGGGCGAGCTGGGCCACTACCTCATCGGTGTCACCAGCAAAGAAATGGCCATCGACCTCCACTTCGGCGACATCACCTGCCAGTTCAACAGCTCCGAGTTCACTGTGGAGGAACTGCCTGTCAAGTGCCCCGAAGCCAATAACTCTGATGTGTAAGTCGCTCTGCACCTTTCTCGATTTTTTCTCATGCAAACCTTTCTGAATGAGAAAAGGAAGTGTACATATAAGTGTGTATAGTATACACACGCACATATAAATTATTACTTCCTCTCCTGCCACAAACACACACACACACATTTAGGACACACACACAGGAGAGGAAGTAAGAATTTATATATTTATATGTGCGTGTGTATATTATATATATGTATAGTATATAGTATATATTATGTGTGTATATATATATATATATATATATATATATATATATATAATGTGTGTGTATATGTGTGTTTTGCGAATGTATGTTAGACGTATTGTTATCTGGAGCATCTCTCAAAAATACCAATAGAACATAATTCAGATGTGGTGTGGGAAAGTTGCAAATGTCAGTGAAATGAGACGCAAATATGATCAGAATTAACAATAGTACTAAACAATAGTACTGAAAGTTTGCAAAAAAATACTGCAGTAGCAACAGGGCAGCAAACATGAAATCTAGAATATATAGATGGATCATGAATACGTTTCATTTACACTCACCAAGGCCTTCAGTGAGGGTCGAACACTTAAAGATCAAACAAGCCTCCTCTGAAACAAAATAAAGGACGTGAGAAAAAATGTACATTTACATGATTTTTGTCAATGTGTCAATTCAATCAAATTTAAATCCTCTTTTAATCATATTGCATATGTAGCATTCTCTAAAATATCTTAAATATTAAATTTGAGTTCAACATTAAATAGCATTATTACGACTCACGATTTTCAAATGATTGTATGGTGCCCCACAAATCACAAATAATATTTTAAAGAATGTGAGACGGAATATTTTTACCTCTTTACAGTGCTTCCAGAAAATAAGTCTAATTCAAGTGCTTGGAATAATATAAAGATAAGTTGCAACCTCCACAACAATCCTCCTGTTCTTTGTAAATATTAATATCTCTGTAGGCCGTTATTTGTCTCATTTTGTAACTGCCTCAGGCTTTTCATCAATATGAACAGTACATATACGAACAAGATAAGCCACACTTTCACTAAATTCAAGAAATATTATCTCAAGCTCTTCAATTCTGTACGGTATTCCGACTGCATTCAGAAATGCCACTTCTTGTAGAAAATGACAACTGAATCAATGTCACAAAGGCATTGACCCACACCCAGTGTTGAACAACGTCACAAGTGCTGAAGGCCCTACAACGCGTCTTCTGATTACAGATGTGAGTCGCTGGCTTTGAACGGGACGCCGTATTGCGAGTGGAACTACAACGGGCTGGGGCTGGACTACCAGGTGCTAGCCGGCCCGTGCTTCATCGCCGTGTTTACGGTGGCCGGCGTCATCATGGGCATCGTTGCCGACCGCTACAATCGCGTGCGCTGCCTCGCCGTGTGCACGCTGGTCTTCTCGATCGCCATCGTGCTGACGGGCGCCGTCAAGGAGTACTGGCAACTCGTACTCCTCCGTATCATCATGGCTGCTGGGTAAGGGCGACATCTCTGCTTTCAAAATCGTGGGGATGATCAACAGATACATACTGTTTGCCAGAAGGGTATTTCAAATGCAAATATGAAGTACAATGATTTGTTTAGAGTACTGTTCATCTTTCCATTCATCTATAACTAGACCTCGGATTTTAGGACAAATGCCTGTTTAGTTCCTTTAGGTTGTTGTGGAAAATAATTGCAGATGTTCACGGATCATGAAAAAACCGTCTTACTAAAAGCATTTAATAGTGCCTAAAATGTCCTAAAAGGGTGGTTGATGCCTATTTTTTAATATATTTTTGCCTCAAAACTCCCTAAAACAAGTAATTTTGACGAATTATTACATTTTAATTATTAATTTTTGAAAATTGTTTTACGGAAACGCAAATATTTTCCCGAATTTCCCCCAACGCTAAAATTATCTGAACGAATACGCAATTGACTATGACCTGAAATTTCTCGCCCAACACAAACTCTGCAAGTCAATATAAAGAGGATGTTTCACGCTCGTCCCTGATCAACACGCATTTCTTAGGTAATTGCACCCATTCCTAGTGCAGCTGCGCTGTTGACACGTTGAAGCTTATCGCTGCGGCACGCCGACTCCATAATCCAGGCGACGAAAATACAGGTCTGGCAAACACTACTGTCGGAAACACGGCCCAATGATTAAATGTGTCGTGTGGTACTTTTTTGCCGGGGGGAGGAGAGTGAAGAAGCTCCGGAAGAAATGGGCATAGAAATGTGACTAAATATATGTTTCCTCCTGTACATTTGCATCACTAGAACATTCATTTTCAGCTTTCAATATGATTTCAACCGATTAAAAACACAGCCTTACAGAAAAAAATTTGGAGAAATATTGATTATATACAACACTGCTAATTATGAAAGTGAATAAAATGTTTGTAAATTAAATTAAAAATACATGACTTTACTGCATAATAAAAAGGGCCTAATTTAATCTTTTTGGGAGGATTTTTAGGCATCGGAAACGTAACGTTTTTTGCCTTATTTAGTCATTTTATAACCAAATTTAAGTGCCTAAAACGTCACTTTTCGGGCTTAATAGTGCCTAATTTCGTAATTTTGTTACCTATTTTAAGTGCGTAAATTATCAATTTTTGGTGCCTAAAATACCGAGGTCTAGTTATAACAGTAATATAAGAAGTGTCACGATTACACTTCGAATAATAACAGTAAAATCCGTTCAAAATTTAAATGTGGTACGTTATGAAATGTAGATTTAAAAGAAAGAATTAAGTTTAAAAACAAAAAAATACAATGATTTCTTCGATTTTATTTTCATCCTCCCAATTTCATTCCATTGATTTGTTTTACTAATGCACAATATTCAAAGACTTTGAATTTTTTAAAGTTACACTTATCTAATGATTATAAATATTATCTAATTTCTTCAAAACTGTGCCACTGTGGGATTACTTAAGAGATAAGAAATATTCTTTATTTTCTCTTTCTTATACATTCGCTCCTGCTTGAATTTTCCTTGATTTGTACTGAGCTTTGCTGTACGACAAAAATAACTTCCTCTATGGCAGATAATAAGCAAAACATTCGACAAAAGTGTGAAGTGTAGTAAGTTTATATACAATTTGTAATTCACAATGTAATAAACAAGGAAACAATCTGTAATAAACAAGGAAACAATCTGTAATCATTTGACCATCTCCTTTCTGGCGTCCATTGTCACAAGTTCAAGCAACGTCTTAGACAATATTTACAATTCCACAATTGGATTTCTCTTTTTCTCTCTTTCTTTCTTTCTCTCTTTTATTCTCTCTTTCTTTCTTTCTTTCTTCCTATCTTTCTCTCTCTCTCTCTCTCTCTCTCTGCCTGTCTGTCTGTCTCTCTCTCTCTCTCTCTCTCTCAATAGAAATGATTAGCATCTAACGTATCGACTTGACGTCCAAAAACCACTGTCTTTCATAAACGGTATAAGTAGTTAAAACTAAGAAAAGTAACAATAATTCTGCCTCGAATTTCGGCCTACACCTTTTGCATTCTACTTCATTGACAATTTTACATTCATTTTGTGGATGTGAATGACATCAACAACAAAATGCTGCTTCTACTATGCAGAACTACATAATTATTTTCTCTTTGCCTCGTCGTTTAATTGGGTTGTGAATTAATGAGGCCTTAATTTTGCAGGGAGTCCGGCTGCAATCCGCTGGCGACGGGCGTCCTCTCTGACATCTTCCCCGAAGAGAAGCGCGGCCTCGTCATGTCCATCTTCAACTGGGGCATATACGGCGGCTACGGCATTGCCTTCCCCGTGGGACGCTACATCCCGAGACTCAACGCTTGGGACCTGGTGAGTGGATCCGGCGCCCAACGCGCTGCTTGCGACAGACGCTCAGGCTACGGTATAGGACTATCTGCATAAATGAAGATTGATGCAACATTTTTCAAATAAATTCCACGGAAAATATAACCAACTAAAAATATCCGACTCAGGACCAATCATAATATTTATTTTGGTTTAGAGACCCTTCAACGACTTAGATCATATAGGTCAATGAGTGATCTAATGAGTAGATGATACCGGTAAAGATGATGAGAAAATGGTAGAAAGAATGTCAGAAGAAACAGGACAACTCCCAGAAAACCTGTCAAAAGTCCATTTTTAATATTAAAAATCTCATAGTATTGGAGAGGAATATAATCGAATTACAACGATGGTAGTTCAATGGGCTAGTATTTAAGACCGTAGTAGTAAATAAATAAAAAACATAGATATAATTTATACTACAGCCGCACTTCAGATCAAGTACAGTCAAACGATTGTTTCACTGACTTGCTTTTAAGAAACGTTTTCACCAATTGTTCATTCTTCCACGAAAAATCTATCACTCAATGCTTTGGAATTACAAGGTTCCAACTGACAAAATCGAAGAAAATAAGTTGTTAGTGTGGTTAGCGTGGTTCTATCTGACTTCCACTCCAAGAAGAAGATACTCCTGCAATATGTGAACAAATAGCTACTGAAAAAAGTTGGGGAGATGATTTAATAATAAGTTAATTAAACTTAGAGATCAATTTACAGGAAACGGCTGAAATGTTAGTGGGATTGATTGATTAGCGATTCCGCGCCCGGCAACTGCTAAGGTCATTAATCCCGTTAGTGTAGTACATATTTTTATTCGCGAGATGTGGCGGTGATTTCTCTTCACTGGCTGGCGAGATCCGGCGCCAACCTATACATCGGCTACTGAGGTTTTCCGCAACCAAGTATCTCCCACCAGCGGGGCACTGCCCCACCCGGAACAAACTCTAAACTTCCGTGTGTGTATGGCAGTGTAGTACACGTAAGTGTATGTGAGTAAGGGATGAAGATAGGAAAAGAAATATAAACGAAAGTTTGTGCGCGGTCCGTATCCCGTTTGTTAGGGTGTTTGCCTAGTGTTGATCGGAGAAACCAATGGCAACTACCGATTAGAGCAGCCGGACGCTAGAATTCTCCTCCAGACAGCGGCTAAACTCGAACTAGCAGTGTAGCTTCAAAATCCATGATAATTAAAGATTTGGTGGATAATGGAGACAGACGAATTCTTCACTTTAGAGGTTGTTTTCTTATGTTTGCTTTTGTGGGAAATATCTTCTTGATCAAATTCGATCTGTCCTAGTAGTAAAAACGCTAGGAAAAGCGGAAGTGAAGTCCCCAACCGGAACAACATCTAAGCTCCCGACAAGTTAAATGTTAGTTGTATCCGTGTCATTCCAAAGGGTCCTGTGCCGCCATGCGCCTTCCGAAACCAACCACTAACGCCTTTTCCCCCCCGCAGGGCTGGCGCGTGTGCTACTACGGCGCAGGCATCATCGCGCTCATCGTGGCGGTGATCACGGGGCTGACGCTGCGCGAGCCCGAGCGCCAGACCATCGGCGAGGAGACGGCCAACGCAGCCGCGGCGGCGCCGGCGGCCGACGGCGGCGAGAACGGCGCGGCACAGGGCGCCGGCGCGCCCAAGCCCTTGACGGGCGCCGCCGCCTGGAAGGTGCTGCTGCAGCCGCGCCTCATCCTGCTCTGCCTCGCCGCCTCCGTGCGACACACCGGTAAGCCAAAGCCGCGTCCTCTTTTCTTGGCATTTTAGGGTCGGATTGACGCGACTTTTATCGGCTAACGGTGTGTCCAGGTTTGGACTCTGTTTTCATTTATTATTCACACCCGGGGTAAGGGAAACATTTGGGAAACATTATGTATTCCCCTCACCGTATCTAGCAAACTTGGTCTGCCCGACCTTTTCTATCGTCACACCGCTACAGCAACTGCGACGATTGTAGTAGATAGTTACAACACTATTTTTGGCTTGACCGAGCGATTGCATCACTTGTTATTCGGGATTTTGAGAAAACACGCGTTTGTTGAAGTTGTAGCTGTGCCGTGAGATCAAAACGTAATGAAGGAGGCAGAATCTTAAATACAAAAGTTTTCAAATCTATATTAGTCGAATGGGGTCTGTAAAAACACAGGTCGTACCGATAGTTATCGGAGCTTTGGGATTTGTTCCGTTAAAATCTATGTAAGATCTTGTCCAAACTCGCGAGTCATTCGAAAGTCTGGAAAACGCAAGTTATCGCTTGATTGGCAACAGTCCATATTTTGCGCACAGAATTTTAGAGGCACTCACCACCACTAAATCTGCTCCTTTGGAAAGAGGCGACAACCTGGAGTAAATTTTATATTTAACATACAGACAACATGTTAGTCGAAAATAATTTAGGGGTAGTTTCATAATAATAATAATAATAATAATAATAATAATAATAATAATAATAATAATAATAATAATAATGGTGATGATGAGACAGGATGCTTCAATTACATTAAGAATGCAGTAACCCACACACGCGATTACTAGTTAAATAAAGTTGGAGTTATGAATGTAGAGGATCGTTGCCGACTCTGTAGCCAACCAGGGGACACATGTAATGAGTGGGTGCTCCGCTTTTGCACCAACGGAATATTTGACCCGGCACAATGACCGTCGGGCCCTGGCTGTAACGTCAGAAATGACAGAGAGGTTCTATTTTAGACATTTAATCTGGACACGAGATCTTGTATAACATTGCAGGCTCCACTACCGCAGGATGGAAGCCAACGGATCAGACATAACACTAGAAGATAAGATAGCCTGTAAAAATGTGTGGTTGGCATTGCTGTCCCTCTACACGAAAATATTACCGCCCCAATGCCAAGAAGCTAAAATATGATGACATAGTGCTTGTAATCATGGCAAAGTCTTTGCAAAAGGTCTGATCCCTATTGAACTCGATCACGTATCTGCTGTGAAAAGGAACGCACTTGCTGTAAAATACTTAATACACAGAGCTAAGTCATATTACATGTAAAACGTAAATATATTTCACTGTTAACAATACATAGTCCCTTCACAAAAGACGGAAAGCATTTTAGAAAGTTTCTAGCTTTGTCCCACACTGCATCTCGGCACCATACCACAATGCTCTATCCCTGTGTCGGTCGACGAGGCACCTCATATTTTAGAGGTAGACATTATTTGCAACCCAATCCATCAGTTTACAAGTTTTGTGTTTTTCGTCGTTTATATCCGAAAAAATAGATATTCTCTCCGATACCAGCGATATGCTTACCAATTCGACTCGCACCAAAACGCAAGAGACTGGATGGATATTGTAGAACAAAATTTGTCGACAATCTCTTGTACTCGTAGAGTACTGAAGTGGTTCGTGCCACGATTACATAAGAAACAAATATTCATCCCTTTGTGCAGCATACGCTGGTGTGTGTGCCTGTGTGTGTGTGTGTGAGTGGGAGAGAGAGAGAGAGAGAGAGAGAGAGAGAGACAGACAGACAGACAGACAGACAGACAGAGGGAAGGACAAGGAGAGAGAGAGAGAGAGAGTATACATTTCGCTTTGACTCACAATGCATATAATGTCAATTTTAAAATAAAAACTTTATTTCTTACGCAATTATACTACATTTTCAGGAAGAACAAAATAATAGAATCAAGAAATATGTTTTTTCCCTTTTTCTGTTCTTTAGGGGGCATGTGCCTGGCGTATAACTGCGACCTCTACTACGAGTACTACTTCCCTGACTACGACCTTGGCTGGTGGCTGTTCGCTATCACCATTGTCGTGGGCAGCGTGGGAGTGGTTTTCGGCGGCGTGTTGTCCGACAAGTTTGTGGCTACCATGGGCATCCGTTCGCGCGTTGCCGTGCTCGTCATCAGTCAGGTGAGTACACAACTCCACAAACTGAACATTAAAATCCTGTCTTTCAGTACTTTATTCCAAGATCACTATCCAACAAGTTTAATAAGCTAGAATTGTACATTCATCAGATACACTTAAATGTTCATATGGCTTACTTCGGCCACAAGGTAAATAGAATATCTTACTTCACAAAATAGACAGACTTTTTCAAACAACAAACAGTTGTATTTGGTACTCTCTAGATGAAATACTTCAAATCAAATTCATACACATGGAATTCAATATCCAGCTTATTATTTTTTTTAATATTTCAAAAACACATACACATCTATGAAGATAACACATTGGCTAGAGGTCATGACGTCTGACCGCCGAAATCAGCAGCTGTGACTTAAAAAACATGCGGTTACTTGGTATTTTAGATAGAATGAATTCAGTAATCGCATTCGCAATGTTTTTATTGACGATTAAAATATGTTCATTCAGATATTTTAAGAAATGCATATTTCACGGTATCCAAATCGATTCTTGAGAAATTTAAACACGATTATTGCACATAACATAATTGCTTGTGGAAATGGAGGAAAAATTGAAAAGTAATACGAATTTTGAAGATTACTTCCATAGTATTTCAGAAGGTAATCAAAATCGTTTGTCTTCCTCATTTGAGGTTATAATTCAACGTTGTGTGGTAGCTTTTAGAGTGAGATAAAATGTTCATATCTCCTAGAAAGATGAAAGATTTTTAGAAACCATATTGACAACAGGTTTCTAATGCAAACCGCTAATCCCGTAAGGATAACAGAAGGATTTTCAAATCGGGAAAAATAAAGCGATTCATTAGCCAAGTAGGAAGAATTAATAGAAACGCTCTTTAATAACAGTTAAAAATAAAATCATATACACACAAGAGCGTTCATCACAACAAACTTTATATTTAATAAAAATAGTTATTTGTTATACGAGTGGCATAAGTGACATTTTATTTTGCGAATTTGGAAATGTTGGGACACGAAGCCAATAGATCGTGTAAAGAAACCTTACGAGGAAAATAAAATCACTTATATATTGTGTGTCATACACTATTTTCAGACAGCCTTACTGATTTTCCTTTTATTTTAATTTAAGTATAATGATCACTTAAATGAGTACCATGTAAAATAATAAGATCAGTAGCTAATCAGACGAAAGTATTTTGTTTTCTTTGTTGCTCTGTTGTATTCAACTGAACATTTGAATACAGGCTTACTTTTGGCACTAGTGCTAAAAAATGAACTTTTAGCGCTTTGTGGGTGCGCCAAAAGTAACAGGTTTTACTAGTGGCTGCCCCAAAACTATTTTACAAACTGCAATGAAAGAACGCCTTGTTGGGCTTAAGAACGTGTAAAGCTGTGCGGGGAATGCCCATTCCTATCCTGGATTTGTATTTTTATCAAAATCTCTCATTAAAGTATCCTAAATACGGTTTTCACATACAAGTATTTTTGTTTCAGCTTATTGCCACTCCTTTTGCTTTTGGGAGTGTGTACTTCGGGCCTCTTGGCGCTATGATTACTCTGGGCATATCCATCTTTTTCGGTAAGTAATATCAGAGTTTTAAATCAAAGTTTTCCTATGAAGTTTAAAAACCACAAATACACGATAATAACTTTTTTGATTTTTTCACAGCTGAAATGTGGTTTGGAATTGTTTTTGCGATCCTTGTGGAAATTGTACCATTGTCGGTGCGATCAACAACTGTGGGCATATTCTTATTCGTAATGAACAACGTAGGAGGCAATCTCCCTATTCTCGTTGAACCGGTTTCAAAAGCAATTGGCTACAGAGAGGCGTTGTATATCTTCTACGCTGGAGCGTATCTTGTCAGTAAGTAACGACAATGTCTATTAATGTGCATCAAAAAAGCAGCTTTAAATTGTTCAGCGCAGATACGAAAACCTGCTTTTAAAATCGACATGCAATCGACTTCCGATCTGTTTTTTGTCTTCTTATAATTACAATAAACTTTTTTCGTTACAGGTTCTGGAATGTTCCTAATTACGATGTTCATGATGGGTCCTGGAGCAAAAGACAAGGAAAAAGACAAGCCAGCTCTGGACGCAGGTCACGACAACGTTGGCTTCACACTCGAACAGATCGCTAACGGCAACGGCGTTGTCAACGGCATCAGTGCGATGGAAAGCAGCAGACTGTGAAAGGCTCAAAGGACGATCTAATAACCTGTACGCACGATCTAATAACAAGGCTGCCAGCTCTGGAGAACTGAGTCGATGGATTTTCAATTTGTGTTCGCGAGTCGTCTTGCAACACTTACGGGAATTCTCTGTCATTGACGTTCTCAATCAGCGCGCCTCGAGCTACAAAAATCGGGCATACGGAATGAGAGTCATTGAGTTTCGAAAGACACTTGCGTGTTTCACACGAGCTCATTCGCGGCCCGATAGAGGCGAGAATGTGACTAATGTGTTCAGAAGACTGCGTTTAAGAAGAGCTGCGGGCCGCAGGTTCTGCAGATTTCTCTAAACTTATAGCCCACGATGAAAAGGATGAGCCTTTTTTCATTTTGTGGAATGTACAATATTCCTAATGTTAATACATCTTTCAATTCATAAGAACGAATCGAAAGACATTGCTGTACATAATTATTGTTTGTAATGATAGTTAGATTGTAATAGGATTTTGAAACTTTCATGATGAGCTCCAATGGTAGCACAGAATAGGATATTTCACAATCCACGACCACACGTCAGGGTATTAGAGGCAGGTCACACGAACGAGATTGCATAGGTTTTTACGAAAATCGAACATTTCAACTGTTCAGTATAATTTTTAACATTTACTTATTTTATCTGTTTACTTAACTCGAAAAAATGACTGTTTTGTAGCCTCAATCTAGTGAAAGAATCCTTTCAAGATTTAACTTCCAAGCTCAAAGCAATTGAATACACATTTCTGTTAACTATATGACAATTTGTACTTGGTGAAGTACAGAACGCAATATTGTATTACAACTGTCAAATAAATTTAAAAAAGACTAGAAACAATTACTCTCCTGTCTTAATTCCATCGTTTGCCCTCACTCTTCCTTTGCAAACCTGTAACTTCTCTGTAGTTATACTGTACCGCAAATATTTGAAGAAATATTGGCAAAATAACAAACAAGGCCATTTCCATTCCCTTGTCCTCCAGATATAGACAAAAATAACATTTTTGGCTATTTTTATGAATCGACTCTGGTTCGGAAACAAATAATTCAGGCCAAGTCGCCAGGTGAAATCTTACTCTTTAAATCTCAATTAAGTTGACAACTCAGTCCAAACAAAAAAATAGCGAATGAGCGAACTAAAAGTTAAAGGCACTAAAAAATGGACAGGAAAAAGCTGTAGCATGGAATATAATTTTGTCCTCGTAACTTAACACGTAAGGTATGTGAAGGAAAGTTGTTCACGTTAAGCGCCTCAAATTTTCCTGTTTATAATTTCAACATTTGGTCAAATTAACAGCATCAAGATGTATCAGTATTTGAAATGTACATATATATGAAAACGTCAGTATTTGCTTGAAAACTTACCAAAAAAATGGTTAATCTGTTTGAAATTTAGGACAAGTTAAAGTTTCTTTGTCTTTAATAGTCAGTCCTACACTTAGTGTTCGTGTTTTCCATAAACACACTGCAGCGTCGCATTCCTGAACTGCCTCCTCACAGCAAGCATGACAATACCACCTTACCCATTTTTCCCTGCAGGATTTGTTGCCGCCAGAGTTTACATCTTTTGTTGAGTTTTCTTCGTGGAAATGTATTTCTTCGTATTTTTGGATTATTTTCTGTTTTCTATTAAGTTTTGGATTATTTTCTGCGTTCTTACGTACCTAAAGGAAAGCCATACTTACACGATATCACAAAAACCATGCAATTGATATTGAAAAGAAATTTTCAGTTTAAGTGTAAGTGCAAGTCAAGTCAAAGTCAGTATTATCGAGAGATTACTAGGAACAATTCACAACACTTCCTTAACAATATTTGAAGTAAATATTCAAAAAGCTTTTTACTCTCGAGAAAACTATATGACTGAACACACTGACTTAAAAGTTTCACCGAAACACTGCTGATAATGAAAATACTGGTACAGGTAAAAACAAACCAAACTTAACAAGACTTCTTCACTCTTCACTGTACACCCACATTCTTCCACAATTAGATACACAGCACTCGTCGACCTCGACAAAACGTTAAATGTTTTCAAGACACGCATAAGAAACTATTTTCATCGGCATCAAGCAAACATTAATAGTACTTCTAGTTGTTGCTGCGAGAGCGAAAATTGTATTAATAATTATGCAAATAAACCTCGTCAGTCTGCGTAAGAAAGCGTAAATAGTAGAAGATAGAGGAATCTAAGCCTTCTCCGCGTGACGTCACAAAGACGGCAACCATCACCAAGAGTTGAAATATAGATGGCATTGGTAGTATCAATAAGTGCCGAATCAGCAAAAATTTAATAGAATGTCTCGGAATATATCCTGTATATTACATTATGATGAGCGTTTCGTTGCGGACATTTGCCTTACAATTTTAATTTTTAAGGCCCTAGAACGTTTCGTTTAGAAGTTATTTAACAATATAGCTGGCTGAGCATTTGACATGAATATTTGGATTCGTTTTTTAAACAAATTCTTCATATTTTTAAAGTGTAATTCGTCTCGTCTCCGTGAAATTCTCTTTTTTTTAGAGACCTAATTTACGAAGATCGGTTGCATGTGAGAGCCGCACAAGGTATGAGGAACTTGGATTGAAGCTGCCCTGTTATATTGTGACTATTTGCACAACGTAAAGAAAGTATAGGATACGCTGGATAAAAGAGAAAATGCAGAATACCGGTTTATATAAAAGTGTGCAATGCTGATGGTGTCCAGAGCAAGTTGGCCTTAATTAAAGTTCATTTTGAAAATGTATTAAATTAATTTGTGATGTAAGTGAAGTACTAACTGGAACATCTAACAAAGAACTGCAATGATATTCACCTGCTCAAGTGGCTTCATTGAAATTCTGTCCCTTAACTTCTTCTGAAGTGGAACGTACGTTTTCGAGTTACAAAAACATTCAAACAGACAAAAGAAAATACATGTTAGTAGAAAACATTGAAAAAGTGGGTTGCATTTTGTCAAAACAATTCGTGTAAGTAAATATAGAGTGAGTGAATAAAAATCATTTAAATGGGTATATTTGAAGTAATTTATTGATAATGCATCATTTCTTGTGCGTATTGTCAGATTTATTGGTCATTTTGTCAGTTTTTTTAGCATTTTGTTAATTTCTTGTGCATATTGTCAGGTTTTTTGTGCATATTTCACTGATTTTAGGTACATAAATGCATGCATATTTTAACAATTTTAAATGCATATAAATCCACCCTATATTCATAACTATTTCTACGGGCCTATGGTATAATGCGAAACTAAGCTGAACGTCAAAAACGAAAATAGTGGTATTAATGCATTAGTTGCCGGTCTTCTAAAAGGTTCCTGTAGCATGTAGGCTTCTGTAATGTAGGCAATGTCCCTCAACTCGACCACGTTTTTCGTCCAGCTTCACTTGAACAATTAAGCAAACGCTGGAATTGTCCCTTAAGCTTGCTTCTGGACAGTAAATATGCCTTCACTACGTATCAGCGTACGTCTTCTAAAAGCGCTGGTTCCGCTAGATGCGGGTGGAGTGAGATATTTAGTTATTTCGAAAACAGTGCGAAAACAGTTATTTCGAAAACATCAAATAAAATCCGTAGCTCGTTTGCCGATGCAAGTACATTCTATTTCACGGGCATGAATATTTGAGTTATCAAATGTCAGACACACTTTCTACTCTTTTCCACATTTATTTACAATTCAACCAAGCACGGCCGGAGTAAGCTTGACGTAGGCCCTATGCACAATTTTGTCGTACTTCAAACTTCCAAAAAATATTATTAGGAGAACCTATTGTAGGCACATCATGTTCGTAGACCCTAGGCACTGTAACTAACGAGCCTACTGGTTAATCCGGCCTTGCATTCAAGTTTATGGTACAGCGAGAACAGAGATTCCGGAACTAAAGAAAACGTGCGCATATTGTATTTCTCTCCACCACAACACAGTTCATAATGTTAAATGAAATAAACAAGAAAATAAAATAAATCTTTTCGTACTTTTAAAGAACTCCTATAGTTTATTCGAATACATTTAAAGTACGACATAAGAACACTGCCTTCGAATGTAGGATGTCTCATAATATCTGTGACAATCTATTATTACTTATAGTGTTTTTGTATATTTACCAAATCATGAAATATAAAATTTTAGCATTAAAAATTTATCTCGGTATAATGTAAATTTTAAGGGCGCAAAATAGATTCGGAGACATTTTGATATTTATTTTAAAAAAACTACAAAATTTTCAAAAATCAAAACATGCAATGATATTTTTAAAATGCTATCTATTTATTAAACTAGTGTATGCCTCAGGGAATGGAAAATGAAAACGTGCCCGTAATACGACACACACAGTTTTAACAATTTTTGACGTAAATAAACAAATAAATGCATTGAATTTATTCACTCAAAACTAGAAAACATAATCAATGTGCATCAACATCACAAAAAAAGTATTTGCTTTTTAATATCGGGCCCCCCAAAAGCAGTATTTATACCACAATCTCAAGACCGATTTTTTCGCACGACAACGATAATCTTTATTTTTTCAATGAACAACAAATATCGTGATTACCCCGTGCGTTACCGAACGCTGATACAAAAGTACACTCTAGACCGCCCTAGCGACTGATGACAGTACTAAATCGTAATACCAGCAGAATCCGCTAGGTTAAGCGTATTGCATTCGACAACGATATATCGACGGACGCTACAATCGAACGAATTCTGAAAAGCTCAGAACAGCTGATGAAGTGAACTGAATAGTGAACGTTTCACGTGGTTACACGGTACGTTTTAAACTTGAGGATGCATGACTTGTGCAGTTTGTTTTTGTGAACATTTTGAAATGGAAAAATTAAAAGTATTGTAGTTTGTGTGTCATTTATTTACTTCTAGATTGTAAAATCTTCGGGAGAAAAGCACCGAATCAAGTTGTGGTTCAGGTTATGACGGTGTGAAAACAGTTCAATTAGATATAGAAGACGATGTTATCTGTGTCAAGAGTACATCTGCAGATGTGTAGTACTCTTATTCGTGGGTACACAAGGCTGTCGTGCGTACATTTAACGAAGCATGTTCGCGTTCAGCAAGTACTGTTCCCGTCGTCACGACATCAAAGTACAGCATCGATCGAAGCATCCAAGGAGAAAGTTTATGTCGGTGAACTGACAGTTCCTATGAGAGGCGTGAAACTATTTTCCTTAATTACTAGCGTAAGTGGACTAGTAGCGCAGCCTTTCCTTATCCAGAGAGCGACTGAAATTGGATCGCATGCCCTCGTTGTGGCTGCCTATGGGTTTATAGGATTTTTCACATTTGTCACACCGATTCTGCTGCATTTAGTAACTAGACAGTATGTTACCGAAATAGAATATGACAGCAAAACGGGGTGTTACACTGCATCAACGATCAGTTTATTCCTCCGAAAGAAATCAATAACGTTTACTCCTAATGATGTAGTTGTGCCTGATATCCCACGATTGTTTACTACATTTATAGCTAAAGGAGCGCCTCTGTTCGTTGAACCATCAATTTTTAAGGATATTTCTCATTATGGGAAAATAATGGGCTACGATAAACCTCTCGATTTAAAAATGGGAAACATTGATGCTCAAAATGTAAAAAAATGAGACTGTGTTAGTTGAGACTGCAGTATCTAAACATACCTGGATCGTAGAATTAAGAATATTTTTAAAAAAACGTAATTTTTGCTGTGACCAGTGTTGGAATGTTTTGTTTGCAATAAATTATCTTTGAACACTTATTTTTTTATTGTATTCCCGACGTTTTCCTATCCTGATTTCAAATATTTTATAATCCACGTTTTAAAAACAGGATTCGTTAACTGCAATGCAAAACGCCGAACGTGAGGTCACGTCATAAAATTAAAAACTACCTTCCTAGATTACTTCAATTGCAAACTGAATAGTTACCTGTCAGGAAAAGTACAATATATCGAATCGCTTACAGAGTTCTCAGAAGTCTGAAAACGTAACTATTACATTCGGTGCAATACGTTGTAATTAATGGCGCATATTCACGTCATTCGCTTCTTGGCTCACGGGCAGTTTAAAAAGCCTTGGCGTCATGTGATAGAAATTAAGTTCGTCCTCGCCAATGCCCTTTCCTGAGCCGACTCACGGCATACATTGCGGAATTGGAGGCTGACGTTTTGGAAGTAGCCGATATTGATTCTATTTCCGACGAAAAGTAAATGCCTTGATAAGTACTAATCGTTTTGTAATGCATGGTGCTTATCTCACATTTTGCTCACACTTAAGTACATCGCATTTAATGTTGCCGGTAGTATAACAAACTCAACCGCACAACAGAGCCAGTTTCAACTGCATGTTGCGTGCTGCCTGCGTTTGAGTATCCACAGAGTAGCGAGTAAGTGATGCATGCAAGCAAAGCAGTCTCTTTACACGCAGTTGTTTAGACAATTCGAGACATTGACTAAGCATGAGGCATCCTTTTAATTACATATATTTTATTTATCTGAACAAAGGCAATAAAGTTCTTATTTTATCCACAGAAAAGTAAGGGTATTTTGCAAATATGACCTCAGAAAAAAAACTTGTATTAGGTATTGATATTGGAACAACTTCCATCAAAGTTTGTGTGGTAGATCTTCACTCCAAGGAAGTACTATCAAAACAGTCCAAAGATACTCAAGCAAATGTCCCCAGCGAATTAGGATATGAAGGTAACAAACAAGATGTACCCAAAATAATTTCTGCCCTCAACAGTTGTGTTTCTCGTTTACCTAAAGATCAACTAAAAGAGGTACGTTTCAAAGCAGAACATGTACGGCATTGGTTACATAGAATGTCTAATTTCATTGAATACTTGAACTTTATTTCACTGAACTATTAAGACAGATGTAATTGACCACAGGTGACACATATAGGAATATGTGGTCAAATGCACGGTGTGATGCTATGGTGCAATGAGGAGGGCAACACTGCTTGGGAATGTTCTGAAACATACACTGGTTGTCGATTTGATGTTGCTGCTTCGAAAGTATCTGCCCTTTACACTTGGCAAGATTCTCGCTGTGAACCTGCATTTCTTTCTACGCTCCCAGAACCATGTTCTCATTTGAAAATTGTGTCTGGCTATGGCTGTGCCACACTCTTCTGGATAGCAAGACATAAGTAAGTAACAAAATTTAAAATATTGAAATAATGTTGTAATTTTGAAATAATATTTATTCCTCTTTTTCATCAGGCCAGAGAAATTTGAAAGATTTAATTGTATTGGCACAATTCAGGATTTTGCTGTGACGATGTTGTGTAATCTGAAGAAACCTATAATGTCTGTTCAAAATGCATCAATGTGGGGTTACTTTAATACAACTTCCTCAGAATGGAACATGGACATTCTTCAAGAATCTGGATTTCCTACTCATTTACTTCCAGAAATTGTTAAATCAGGTGAAAATGCTGGAGTTTTGGCCCAATCTTGGTATGGCATTCCAGCTGGCACCACTGTTGGTAAGTGTCTTGTTTCTTCTGCATGTTTTATTTCGTTTAAGTTCCAAAGAAAATACTAATGTAGATCAATTAAAACAGGTGCAGCTTTGGGCGATCTTCCCTGTTCAGTATTAGCTACTCTTGAAAGAGAAACTGATGCAGTTCTCAACATTTCAACATCTGCTCAACTTGCCTTTGTAATGCCTCCTAATTTTGAGCCAGTTAAAAAGGAAGGTAATGTAGATTTCACTAATCAAGTTACGGATACTTTTCAAAAATAATTAATAGCTTATAAGTGGTGTTTTTTTCCAGGAAAAGAAACTGTAATTTATTTCCCTTATTTTGGTGGAAGATATCTTGCTGTAGCAGCTGCTTTAAATGGTGGAAATGCATTAGCAACATTTGTGAAAACCTTGCAACAATGGTGTCTTGAACTTGGTTTCAGTGTTCCTCAGTGTAAGTTCATAAAGAAACACTTCCAAGTGCAAAAATTATCATGCATTTTTATTGTTACCCGCTAATGTAATTGCAGCAAAAATATGGGATAAAGTTTTGGTACTTGGAGCAGATGATTCAGCTGTAACATCCCTACAGATAGAACCAACATTGATTGGGGAACGGCATGCCCCTGTCCAGAATGCTTCTGTATCTAATATTGATCTGGGAAATTTAGGACTTGGTCAAGTGTTCAGGGCTCTCTGTAGTGGAATCATACACAATGTCCACAGGTATAGTGCTCATGCAAATTTTAATTGTATTTCAGTCAACACTTCTATTTTGTAGAAATTTGATCAGCTCTGAAACTAAAATTCTATGTAATTCCAGTGTATTTTTTCATGTTCCTTTCATACCAAACAAGTATATTTGTACAGTAATAAATTATTTTAAAATAAACAAGGTAAATAATATGTGGATTCTGGAATTGATTCAGTATTTCATATTTCAGCATGATGCCAAGGGACATATTGGTGGATTCACAAATAAATAGAATTCTTGGAGTAGGCTCAGCTTTAACAAGAAATAAAGTCCTTCAAGCAGAAGTGAAAAGTTGGTATCAGCTTCCTATTGACTTCGTTTCTGGAGGAGATGCTGCAGTTGGTGCAGCTCTTTCAGTAAATCATGGATATTAGTAGTAATAAGCGCGAGGCAACCATCTTTTTTTTTATAAAAAATACTGAAGCCATTTAACGTTACTCAAGTTCTAATTTTCTGTGTAGGATCATTGCCAAAAAATGCAATACGCACAAGGTGTAGGATGTAGGATTTCACAGCAACATATAGACTGATAAGCAATGCTCACATCCCTTCTTTTAAAGTGGGTACCATTCTGGTTGAATGCTCATATTGCACCATATCTCAAGTCCAATGCCAAACAAAGAGCTAGATTTCAACAGCAATACAATTTTTTAAACTTCTTATCTTCTGAGATGTTCCAAATACTTGCCAAATGCTGTATAAACATTTTAAATCTTGCCATTATATTATTACAATTGTTGTTATTATTATTCCTTTTTTAATAGAAAATTTTCATATTTCTACAAGATTTGTGTATTGTTGAATTATTTTCCTGTACAAAATTTTACAAACAATGCAATCAAATTGCATTTATGTTTAGGGGTGAATGTAGTGTATAAAATTGAAAAAATAAAAAAATCAATAAACTTCAATATAAATTTTGTTTGTAAATATGTTATTTTTCAACTGCACATTTTAAAACTTCTTTAAATTCAGACAACTCGTTCTTTCTTTATCTAAATTCTTTTCCCAACTTTCCATCACAAATATTAACAGGCATGAATATTTTTAGTTTCATATCAATTACTATATTCATAAGAAAATTTCAATGCTATTAACTCCTATTCATTTATAATCCAGGAAGCCAAATTAGCAAAGAGTGTATTACTGAAATGCATACAAAAGTATGCATGACAGATTATGTTAATCAGGAAGTGTGTATCAACTACAAAGAATTTAATTAATTTTTATGACCATAAACACAGTTGTCTAAAGCCTAACTCCAATTAAAACTAGTGATGCCAGAGAATGGCACATACTTTCTTGTACTAGTTTGATAGTTTCCTATTCTTGTGAGTCCAGGCTACCTTTTTGTTTTTGTCCCCATCCTTTTTCAAGCTGTACTGGAGGCATCCCCTGTAAAGAGCATCTTCGCACTGCCCAAATTTCACATAGACCTATCTTCACTGAACTTTTACATACTTGCCCATGGTATCCTTTGGCACCATATCAGTGCTTGTACCACCCAGTTCCTCAATTCAGTGACCTGTCAAGCCAAGATACTAAAGAAGGTTTAGGGAATGAATACAATAGGAGGACTCTGAATGTTGCCCATGCCAAGTACACATCTTGAAATATTCATGCCTTATACAGATTTTGAATTCACAGTCTTAATGTTCATGTACTTGCGCTCACATACCCAAAGCTCAAACTTTGAAATCACTTTATTCAGTCACATATTACAATAAATTTATCCAACAAGTAATATAACTAAAACTTGTCTTTTAATGCTTAACTAGCCTGTCATGTGTTAGTAGTATTGAATCTATGTTTCTAAATGACACCATTTGTTTCCATGGCAATGCAATGTTACTGTATCATTAAAATCTATCAACTCTTTCACTCTTAATTTTCACTTTAATGAACAATTTTTCCAAAAATTAATTAACAATATACAAAATGTTGTAGGACATGGTCTTTACAGTATGTATTCGCTAAGACAATTTTTGTAGCTTCAGTTTTAAAAACTAAAGTTAATAACTGCACATTTTTTAAAAAGTTTAGTTACTTTCGTGTAAAATTTATAATCAAGAAATACTATTTTATCAAAAATGTACATTTTTTCAATTTTTCAGTTACACCATAGAAATGACTCAAGGCCATGAGTGAAACTGTGAAAAATTGTTTGAAGCGCATGTTCTCACAAATGCAATAAATTATCATAAAAGACAGGAGTATAAAAACTAATGATATAAAAAGTATTAAAAAATATATATTTCAGTAAATTTTGAAAAATAAAAAGATTATATTAAAATTCTGTTGATGTAATGGTTACTTGGTGCATTTAGCTTTAACTGTACAAAAATTTTAAAGCAAGAACTTGCAGTTGTTTCCAGAAAATCATGTTTTTAATATTTTTTAAATTTGCTCACACTTTGCCTAAAATTAGACAAAAACTACTAGTGTTTGCAAAAATATGTAACAGTCTTTAATAATTAAAGAACTCATTGTGGAGAATAAATTACATTGAAATACAAAATATCTTTATTCAATAATTTTCTTTGCATAAGGGGGTCCAAAAAAGTTCAAGCTAGTGCAATTTAAAAAAAATCAGAGTCAAAATCAAATGTATACCATCGTTATCAGTATTTCACTCCATTGTTCACAAGATCTTTTTAAGAATTTGGAATCATTTTCGGGGAAATTTTGAAAATGTGCTAGAGGCTTCTTGGGAAGTACTCCCAAATTTAAAGATTTTTTTTCAAAATTGCAGGGCTTCAAGTAATGTCAGATCAGGGAATATTCCTTTTGGAAAAATTCCTGCAAATGTATTAGATGTAAATGTTAGTCACTCAGCTAGGAGTACGTTTTGGGAAAATCACTTCTTTAGTATAAGGGGATCCAAAATGTGTATTTCTGTAAAAATCTCAAAATTAATTTTCCACAGTAGCATGTATTTCTTTATATTCTGAACATTACTCCATATATACATACATAAAATGTCACAGGATGATAAACAGTTTGTTAGTATCTTTTGATAGTTAAAAGAGAGTGTCAGATGAAATTCAAAATTTCAAAATAATGTATAAAAGATTTTAAGGTCTCTTTGCATGTTCTTACTTCATGCATTCACTTGATGAACTTCCCTTTGGAAAATCGCAGATAATGAAGTTTTGCATTGAGGTATTAATCTCTACATCTTCAGAATACATAGTGAGCTATTTAAGTGTCTCCATTCAATTGAAAATAATATTACAAAAATATACAAATGTATTTTAACATCTGTATCAAGATTTTTGAGAAATCTGGATTAAATGAAAATAAAGTTATTAGTGGGTAACTGCAGCTACTAAGCAAATGGAGGAGTGAAGGGAGAATGTGCGAGTTAGCAATCCCTAGTAACAAAGTCGACTGCATGGCTTGCATTTGATCTCAATTACAAATAAAACAAACTGAAATTGTGGTATTGGATGTTAATCAGAAGTGTCTTTGTAAGTCAATACTACTGACAAAAAAATCAGTGAAAACTAGCAATTCAAAGTAGAAAATTAATTTGTAGAGTTCAATAAATCTAATGGCAAACATGGTTAAATAATTTCTTCAAATGCATAGTGGGATTTTTTTTCCAACATCAGTGTTTCTACAACAAAGTCCAAACAGTATAAATTAAACAAATGTTTCAGAACTAGAAGAGGAAAAGAAATTCTGATTCTGAAAAACGTGTTTAGTCCACATTACTTATAGATTTAGTAGTGGATCATAAATAATCAGAAAAATTTTCCCAAAACAAATTGTATTGTTTAACAAATAAATATATATAAATTAATAAACATATTGGGCAAATATACTATACTTTTGGTTAGATTGTTTTTTTTTATTTTATTTAAATTTTCGTTTTAATGAGGTCTTGTCATAAAAACTAAACAAGGTTTTGAATTTTTGCTACGTTGAAGAAGGTCAAGGACATTTTTTTTGTTTCTCAGTACTAGGCATTCAAGAAAGTTCATGGAAAGGTGTCCAAGCAAATCAGGAAAATAAAAAGCATATCCGAAGACACTCATCCTCCAGATGAAGTAGGGAACAATTATTATATCTTGCGCAGAACTAATACAGGTGTTAAAATGTTATCAAAATTATGTTGGAAGAAATGAAAACTCTACAGGATAGCTCTGAACTTTTCAAGAAAGGCTTTGAAATTTGAATAAATGATAAGAATGTCACTTGTTCTTTTTTGTGTTTGTGGGCATAATTTAATTATTAATGAACTAATTAAAAAATGCATCATTAATTTTAAAAATTACTCAAGGGAATGTGGTAATTGGAAATAATCTTCCTTCTGTTATAGGGCTTCTTTGAGAATGAAAATTAGGTAAGCAATGGTGACTCTTCTCATATTTTGCATACGGTATTTGTTAAAAGATGAACTTTTTTTTTTTTTTTTTATTTTTTTTTTTTAATTATATTATGCAGTTTTCCATTTTAGTTTGTCATGTGGAAACAAATAATATCACTACTTCTGAGTTAGCTATATTACTTCACTGAAAATCATTTTATATCCATTTTTGCTCCACCTTCAATATAATATCGATTAGTTTCAATAAACTACATGCTCATTTGCTTTTTTAATTTTTTTTTCTTCCGCAAAATCACGCATTTCAATGAATATGAGACCGGCACTATTCTCTTAAGCGTCCTTCATGTTAGTAAAGTAAGTTCCCAATTTAATCAAAAAACGTTGTGGGGTTTTTAAGAAAACGTGGTTTAAAGAAAATAAAAATTGCCTATGTTTGACACAAAATTTCTCAAAAAATACTCATGTTTTTGAAAAATTAAACCCGACATTATTTAGAGATCTGTTATTGATGAACACTTTTCACTAATGAAAAAAACTGTATCTTCATGACTGTAGTAGTAGGAAGACGCCGAAAGAATTTTGAATTTTTTTAATTGTCGAAAAATCAGGGTTTTTAAACGACATGAGACCTACAGCATTCTCTCAAACGTCCTTCAGACTATCCACCAACAATATTTAATCAAAATCGATGACGTAATTTATTCAACTTTGAATATGTCCCAGAGATTGCATATAAAGTACCCACCAAAATTAAAATATCGGTTTTAAATTCAAGAGTCCGCGACATCAGCCAAATCGACCGGGAAATATCGATTTTGGAGAAAATTGGCTGAACGGTTTAGCCGCTAGCGTTGTTTAAAGACAGACAGCAGACAGTTTTGCGGTCAATCGATTTTTCGGTATCAAGGAGCCATAAAACATGGTTTCTGGCTGCACCACGTGTTAGATAATTTATTTTCTAAATTTAGCAACTGGATTTATCCACTTTAATGTGGATGATGTGGGCCCTCTAATAAGAAAAAAAATTCCTATTTTCCCCCGCCGCATTACATAACTTTCTCCCTACCGCAGTAGCGATAGCCAGAAAGTAAAAAAAAAAAATTTACATGACCTTTGTTAAAGAATTGATTTTGTTTAGAAACTATTTCGTTTAACAATACTATCATTAATTTGACTTTAATAATAATTTTGTAATGTTGATTATTTGTTTACCTACCGACAATAGGTCCGCCACCACCCTCTTTACCTTTTTGCTACATACGAGGAAAAATTTTAAAAAAAACTTTTGGAGCCGGTTTTGAGAAAAAAAATGAAGCCATTTTTTAATCAAATTTTGGAATTGTCCTTAATGCTTCATGTAAAGTACGCCCCCCCCGCAAAATAAAAAATTGGACTCAAATTCAAGGGAACGTGACATCAGTCAGGGCGATCGGGTAACATCTATTTTGGTGAAAATCCTGCTTACTGTTTAGCCGCTATAAGCGTTGTTCACAATCGAACGGAGACGTTTGCCGTCAGTCGATTTTTTACATTGAGGACCCATCAAACGTGAATTCAAACTACACAACGAGTTAGATGAAGTAATTTACGACATATAGGAACAAGATTTATCCGATTTTTCATTGACAGGGTCTGGCAGAGATTCTCTGTTAAAAATTCGCCGTTTTTTCTGCAACACTACAATACTTTCTTTATAATGCGTAATCAGAAGGCGAGAAAGTATTACACGAAACACAATAAAGCGTTGGAAGATTTTTTGAACAAGAACATTTTTTCTGCTTCTTACATAATTCTTCAAGAAACGGACCCCTGTGCTGAATATTAAAGAAAATGCACCGCACGCTTCAAACTCACTCAATTCTCAACTCATACAGTCAGTTTGACCAATCTAAACATTTTTCACAATGCTAAATGCATTATAAATCGATACTGATTAATTACATTTATGTCTAGAATCAAAAAAGGGGCCATCTCACCATTTGCTCAAGGATCAGGGAAACTGGACGAAAACCTGATCGCGATAGGGTCATTGACCCAGAAGCTGAAGTACAATACTTGATACAGGCTCTTTAGAATTTGACAGTCCAATGATAAATAATACATTAAATACAATTGTTAAAAATTAATATTACTTTCCTTTTTAATGCTCGGTATAGTCTCTAATTATATAGAAAAAAGTAATGCAGCAGAAAATATTTTACTTGGGACTTACACTTTTGTATTGAATTTAATCGTTTAAATTCGGCACAATTCTGTCAGTGTTGTAAAATAATGTACATCTATTGTACGTTAATTTTTTGTAGTGAGCTGTTGATACTGTCTCCTGATGAAAATAATTACTACGTCGAGCATTATATTTATAGACATCGGCGTTTTCTGAAAATATATTCCCACCCTTAAGTAAGTAATTTTTGACAAAAACCACTGATCCGTAGACCCAGGGACAAGGTAATGGTAGAGAATACTTGAAGATTGGTACTGGTGTATACATTTAATCATCTGGCAACGCTGGCCCAGTCTGCTGGGAGAATTTTCTTTCTCATGCGTCCTTACTCCCCTCAAAAATTATCCAGAATGTTTATTTATTGTAAGGTGCAACTGATCGCTATGTAATCTGACAAACGCTGTGTTTTATTTGGTGGATGCAATTTAATGAGTTTAAATTCATTTTTCAATCACTTGCAATTTCACAGAAACAGTATTTAAAAACAGAGGTTATTAACATCGTCTGTTGCGTGTTGTTTTATATCGCATTCCATAAGCGACACCCATCGCCTCGCCTTTTACTGACAAAGCAGTTAAGTGAGTAAATACTAGGTTCTCTATTTAAATATATTCGAATTAAAATAAATATTTAATCGATTTACTTAATCGATTGACTTAAAACCTCGAACAAGGAGAATATGGGAGAATCTTCGGAACATTTGAATTATCATACAATATTTACAAACATATATTATCATACAACAGTTATATCATCAAATTTATCTAAATACAATATAATTATTTCAATTCTGATAATTTAAGGAAAGACCATGACCCCAAGGAATGTTCTTATTTCAATAGAATGCTGACCTTTTCTATCATGATAAAGAAAATTTATCGGACTTACCTGAAGATGACAACATAAATAAGTTGTCTAAATGTTGTTTTAAGAAATGAATAATAATAATATGTAAACGCTACCTTTCCAACCTTATTTATGTATATTATTGTAAATCTCTCATATGTAGCCAATCAATTTTCATTTTCTTTTCTTTTCCCGTGTTCCTGAGCATCTAACACCAGAGACAGCTCGTATCAATGAAACTCGAACTTTGATGAACATTAATATAGGAATGGGCTCCAAAATATAAGCGTCTGGGCTCATTAAATTCTGAATTTAATGCCCTAGAACTTGCGAAATATGAATCCAGGTTTTAACACCCTACAACTTAGAGATATAACTGTAAAACCTAAAAATATCCCTTTGAGGGTACATTTTTACCCGCCCCTCCCCCTCCCAACTTCAGCACAACTCCGCCGAGAGATGAAATTTAGGATTGACATACTCATATTACGCTACGTATGAAGCCATTAAAACAATAAAGCTTTTTGTAGTCATTATTTACGATTCGTCTACTTTTTAGGTTTTATTCTACTGGACTACTAAGCACGTGCTTGATAACGTAAGAAAACCTGTGCCTGTGTGGATAATACTTTTTCGGAATTAAAAGCTTTGAGGAAAATAGACAGCTCTCTGCACAAAAAGGTGCGCTTGTGAGCGAGCCTTGAGAATTGAATTGATTAACAATACGTGTAAAGGTCGTTTATATCGGTGGGTTTGAGTCTAGTATCCATTCATATTTTAAACACCCGCGTTTTTGGTCTTGGAATGCGGGAAGAAAGGAAGTGCGTGCGTATGCGCAAGTGTGGTGGAAGGAAGCGAAGATATGGTGAAGGACGCAATGTTTTAAAGCAGTTGGAGTAAACAAAAAAGGAAGCATATGTGTCATGAATGTTACTATTTAGCTTGCACACGTAGCATTTGCAGCATCTGCGTATTACTACAGATAACTGTTTCGACATGGGAAATGCGGATACGAAACTAAATTTTCGAAAAGCTGTCGTACAATTGACATCAAAGACCCAAGTAATTCTTATAACTACTTATTTTCAATTTAATTCCATATTTTTCTGATTTGCATTGAAGTTAATCTGCTATTTCTTGCGAGTGTGTGGTGAATGATAATTCTTCCCTTTGTTTGATAGCCAATTGATGCAAGCGATGACAGCTTCTGGGATCAGTTTTGGTCAGAAAATGTCAATAACGTTCAAGATGTTTTTACTCTGGTACCAGCACCAGAAATAAGAGCATTGCGAGAAGAAGCACCATCAAATCTTGCAACGTTGTGTTACAAAGCAGTCGAAAAGTTAGTGAAGGCAGTTGACAACAGTTGCAGAACTCAACACGAACAGCAAACTGGTTTGTTATTAAAAGCTAAATAACATCCAGAAACCTTCGTTGTATTTATGTTGTTGATTCAGTATTTTTGTACCAGTGAAATTATTACTATATATTTTTTGTAAAAAAAATATTTGCTCTAATTTTTTCTTTGATTTATTTCTTAGTTCTGAACTGTGTGAGACTTTTGACACGTCTTTTACCCTACATTTTTGAAGACCCAGATTGGAGGGGTTTCTTTTGGTCAAGTTTACCAGGACAGTCAGAAGATGATGGTGAAGATCAATCAATGCCTTTGGCACAGTCATTAATAAATGCTATTTGTGTATGTAGTTTTGCAGTGATAATGTAATTATTATTTATGATGCGAGGCAGAAATATTAAATATAACTTTTGGATCAGGATTTGCTTTTCTGCCCGGACTTCACAGTTGCTGGAAGCAGAAAAGTTGGACCAGTAAGTATTTATTTTTTATTACAAATTGAATTGTGTTTGGAACATTTGATAAAATCAAATACATTTTCAGGACAAAGCAGAAGATCTTCAGGCTATTGATAGCTGTGAATATATATGGGAGTCTGGGGTAGGATTTGCTCAGTCTCCCCCTCGGTATCCACATTTGGACGCAAACAGAACTGAATTGCTTAAGTTACTTTTAACTTGCTTTAGTGAAACCATGTACCAACCACCTGTTGGTAAGTGAATATTTCTGTGATAAATTGAAATTTATTGATTTTGAAATTTAGCATGATTAATTTTGTGAATTCACAGACATCCACACATCACCTAATAGATGGATTCAGTACTATACTTCAGCAGAGAATCGCCATGCCCTTCCAATGTTCACTTCACTATTAAACACAGTTTGTGCTTATGATCCAGTGGGACTTGGTGTTCCATACAATCATTTATTGTTTTCTGATTCCCTGGAACCCTTAGTAGACACAGCTCTGCAGATTCTTATAGTTACTTTGGATCATGATACAAGTGGTGGTGGTGGTGGTGGTGGTAGTGGGGCAACTGAAGGAGAAGAAGTAAGTTTATATTTAACTTTTCATGTTCAGGAAAGAATATGTCAGTATGAATTTGTTTGCAGGTTGATGTTATTTTTTATGTTTTAATGTCTTCAACTCAATTCTTTTTTTCAGATTTCTGTTCCAGACAATTTGTTTATTAATTATTTATCTCGAATTCACCGAGATGAAGATTTTCATTTTGTGTTGAGAGGTTTCACCAGACTTCTAAATAACCCTCTTGTGCAAACTTATTTACCCAATTCGACTAAGAAGGTTCAGTTTCATCAAGAACTCCTTGTCTTTTTCTGGAAGATGTGTGATTATAACAAGGTACGAAAGATATTCTATTCAATTCCATTCCATTCTATTCATCTTTGAAGCAGTAGCATTCTTCGGCTCCTTGATTAAACATATATTTAAAAAAAGGATGTATGTTTTTGTAAAAAGTCTTTCACCTTTTGAACCAATATTGATGCATACTATAAAAGCAATTAGCTGGATCCATGTGAACATTCCACACTTAGTAATTTGTTGTTTTAATAGAGAAAATTGCTTCATACTGAAACCTAAATTCAACTCAGGTGTTTTCTATAAATTCAAATTATCGTTGTGTGAATTTCACAATTACAGAGGTTCAAAAATGTCTCGTTTTTTAGAGAAGAAACCTAGAATCAACTTGTGGTGTAAGGGGCTTGAAAACTGAATTTTAAGGGCATAATTATGCCCGAATAGGGTTGCCATACAGATGCCAATGGAATTCAGAACATCCAAAATATATTTCTGAGCAAATGGTTTATTTTTATACAACTAAATAGTACATCAAGTAAATTGTAAAACAAGGGGATAGTCTATGAAGTAAGCAACTAAATAGTAGATCAAGGTAAATTACTTTGGGGCACTTTCAAGAATATCAGGGTGACCATTCTTTTTCTAGGACAAATTTCACCGTCTTTTGAAGGTTATCCAGGTCATTTCTTTACTTTCCCATGACAAAATCTCTGTTGTATTTTAAGGTATTTAAACAAAATATTATAGCACGACTTTGGTCGATATTTAAATACTTATTGATGAAGCCCTTTTCCCCCTTTGCATTCCACATTCCCTTGCAATAACACATTGTGAGTGAAACAGATGCACTTCGATTCAAAACGCACAGTACCTCTGTATCAATTTTTTAGCTTTCGGATTGTACTGTAAGAAGGCACAAATAAAAATATTTGCTTAAATAAGGATGAACTCTCTTATGTAGGGCATAGTTTTGTGTTACTTGCGATGTACTTCACAAGTAGTCCTATAATGCAGATTTTTTTGTAGGACAGTGTAGAATTATAAAAGAGTATAAAAATTTAGGACATTTGACAGAAACAAAGAAAAATTTGGTAGGTCAGTAAGGACACATGTCGTTATTCGGGAGACGTCCTCCTTTTTCAGGACGTATGGCAATCCTAAGCCAGATGGATTTTTCAGAAAGAGCATAATTGTGAATTGCACGTGTGCCTATGAATTTGTTTAAAGCATAATGTTTTAGATTTTTTCAAATTATTTATAGCTCAGTAACCTAAAAATACAGAGGTCATTACTGAAACCCCCCTTAGCATACTGGCATGCTATGGTTTAACTTGTAACTTCGCTCTCTCCACCCAAGACATATTGACTCGTCATACACGATTGTAAATTGGGTATATTGGGTTGAAACTTCCCCAATAAATATATATTATTATTACTCTCAGGTGGTATAGTGAAGGCAATCTCGCCCTTCTCGGGTTCATCTCAACGGAAAGCCCTCCTTTGGTCATGAAAAGGTTGCCAAACATATTTTTATACTAACATTTGAACCCTAAGAATAATCTGTAAAAGTTTATTATTGTTGGGTTGACCTTCAATATTTTGGTAAACGTAAGTTGGGCAAATGAGAATTTCTTTCCGATCTGGTGTAAGAACATAATTTAAATAAATGTTTCTGCGAATCAACTGCTCCTGAAGCTATGATGTGCATTTGTGAGAACAATATTTGCACTGAGAAAAAGTTTGAGTCTATTGTTAAAAAGTATTTCTAGATACTTTGAATATCTGGATTGTGTGGAACTCATTGGATCATAAGCAATACCTTTTTTAAAATATTGGTTTTGTTTGTGCCCTTTTGAATTCTTGTGGGAAAATGCCTGTTCTTAATGAAACAATTGAAGAATTGGATGGAGAATGGCTTAAGCTGAAAACACAGTTTTGAAAAATATGGGTTTTAAATAGGGGTTCTGAGATCAATAATTGATTATATTATATAGAGCTCAAGTGTATATCATTCCTAGAATTTGCTTAGAAGATAATATTGAAGAAAAGGAAAAAGTTGATCTGCCGAAATATACTTTAAAAAAGTTTTAATAATAATTTGATGATATTCTAGTACAAATTGAGTCTGACACAAATGAAGGAAATTTATTCAAATTTAGATGTGGAGAATGAATGTATGTATGTAATTTTGATGTGTTGAATGTTAGAATATGTATGAGAATTTGAAAGAAAGATTACATCTAGCAGCTATGCAAACAATAGGAGAAAGAAACCTTGAAAAGAAAAAAATTAACAATTGTTGGTGGGACAAAAATCTGGAACCATTGGTGAAGGAAATGTAATCATTGTATAAAAGATAGCTGTTGACTCGTAATCCTCTTGGCAGAACTGCTTATACAAAACAAGAAAACTTATGTCCAAAAGCAAGAATGTAAAGCAAAGGATTGGGACAGAGTTTCTAATGAAATAGTTAGTTACATAGGAAGCTCACAATCCACAGAATACTGGAAAACTATTTTAAAATTAAATCAAAATGAGAATGAAAATAGTCCTGAATCAGATTAGTATCCAGTATCCAGCAATAGAAAGAACATTATTGTAAGTTGGGAGCGTAGGCTTTCGCGGCTGGAGTCAGTATGTACTTGTCGGTCTGGAAGACGTCCATGCCTTGACATGTAATCTCCCAGGCACCAAGTTACATACTTATGTAGGTTGCTCACAAAATAGGACTAATTCTGTCAGTATTATCATTAGACAAACATAGAATCATGTCTCGTTAGCTATCAACAGCTCAGGAAAGGGAATAAGTCAACTGGTCCTGGAGGTTTGTCTTTTGATCTTTTAAAATATACACCAAGTATTGTCTTGGATTATGTGACGTTACTTAACACATGTATTCTAGCCATTGGGGTGCCTGAAGATAGGAAGAATGCTTGAAGAGGGAAACTGGAGTGACTGTTCAAAGCTATTGAGGAATTAGTGTAATAGCTACTATGGGTAGATGGTATGGACGAATTTTGACTCAAAGACTGAAATGGATGTCAATGTACTTGAGGAACAAAGTGGTTTTGGGGCAGGAAGATCCTATATATTTCCTATTAAACAACTTATTGAAAAGAAAATCTCTAAAAATAGAATTATACTAAATATTTATTGATTTAAGGAAGACTTATGATAGTGTCCCGATAAATTAAATATGGGAGGTTCTAACAAAAGTAAAGCCAACTCATGGCTCAGAGCGAACGTCTTGCCTTTCACCAAGGAGGTTCGGGTTCAATTCCTGGACAATCTCATATGAAATTTGTTTTGACAAAATGAGCTTGACTGATTCACTAGGGCTAATCCAACCCCTGAGAAGTGACCTAAACCCTACCACTGTCCTAATTCCTTCCCAGTTCAAAGAACCAAGGCTAGCATTCAACTGCTTTACTCTTAGGGGGATCACCAAGGATCGCTCTGCGATATACTACTAGTAACAAAAGTAATGAAAAATCTGGCCTTGATAAATGTAATAAAGAGTCTCTATGAAAACGGTAGTTCTTAAATTAGGCACAGACAAAATATAAAGTTCATAACTTAACTTCAATAGATGTAGTAAAATAGAAGTTTTCAATTTTTGGAATTAAGATGTTAATAGTTCTTCATTCCAATGAATAACAATATGGCCTACTAATGAATAGACAAAACTAGTGGAGTTACATTACATATTTTCTTGCATTCTTTTGTAAATTTACAATTTTCTAAAATTCTGAGAGTTCAACAATAATGGTACTTGCACCATTCTTTTAAGCATCCCTTGTTCTATTTGTGGGGAGAAAAATTGGAGTGGGTTTGGAAAAATGTTGCTAGAATAGGTTTTGTGTAAGGCAAAAATCTGTAACTTCAGTCTTGTAGTTTTGAGATGTTAAAATTTCGCAATTTTTGAAAATGCAGAATTCACTGCAAATAAGTCTAGTGCCAGTGTTTTGACCATCCTTTGATACTTTCTTGTGGAAGTTTTTGCTGCATGTGATCAACAAATCTTTGAACTAAACCATCAAAATGTTTTGCTTACGTTTTGATTCTGTGAGGCAAACTTCTGGCAGATATTTAAATGAACCCTTTTTGTGGCATGTGAATAATTCGGATTGTCTGTGCGATTTATAACTTATTTTGAGCCATTGTTTTTCATTTACAGTAAGACTTTTGTGCCTTGACTTCATTTTAAGGCCTTGAATATCATATGTCTAAACTCCATGGTAAATTTTATTGTTTATTTAAAGATCTCACAATTTTAATTTTTTTCGTTGCTTTTCTCTAAGCCTTCTCTCTTGACTTTTTTATCTTCCAAAAGATGTGTAGAAGTAATATTAACTTTTTCACATTTATAAAATATGTCATTTTGACTCCCCATGGTAGATGAAAAAACACATTCGAGAGTCTTTTTCTTTCAGTAGATAGATTCCAAATCATTGGTTGATGTCTTGAAACAAGTTTTTTCATTGTCCTCAAAAACAAACTGCTGCCGCATCTTTTGGAGAATTCATTTCCACCTTTCCTAGAGCGATCGTTATCCAATACTTCATAATTCAAACCATCCTAAACCAAATTAAACAAATAGTATAGAAAAATGATGTTTTGTATACACAATGCTAAATATATTATTAATTAGTAATCATTTAACTATATTTTTAAACTGCAATATTTTTTTAAGAATAGAACATAAATTGTGTCATTAAAATTTTGTTTAATACAAAATCAATTTGTCAAAAGTACACTTCCCTTACATATCAGGAAACATTGGCTATAGGTACATGAATTACTGAATTATATGTACTTGTTGCTCTTTAGTGCTACATGCACCAGCAATTTCTCACAAAACTATTCCTAAAAAACTGCTGACGTTATCATCCTAAACTTCCTTAACATTATTGACGAGAAAACACTTAACTAGTTTGTTTTTTTCCTTTATTTAAACTTTTATGTCCTCTTTCACTCTCCCCCTCCCTTTTTCACCCCTTTGTCCCTCTCCCTCTGCCCCTCCCTCTCCCCCTCTCTCTTTCTCACTCATTCACATTTAGTTGCAGAAGAGTCAGACCAGCAAAATTGTAATAGAATGTTCAAGATCTCATCCTGTAAATTATAGAGGGAGGCTATTTCTTTGAGGCCTTTAGCCTCGAAATTTTAGTTTTTAATGCCATAAAATGTGTTGTGTAGAAGTTATTTAACGACATAGATTCAAGAATGCTGCCTATTGTTGTGGGTCACATTTGATCTGAGTATTTTATTTTGTTCTACAGCACAGTTACATATATGTAATAAATGAAATGTTATACATTTATTTCTTTAATTTCATTGGGAATGTGTAACAATACTTAGATTTAAAGAAAGTGAGAAAGTGTATCCCTAATACAAATATAACAATATAAGTATCGTTATATCTTAAGTTGTCCTTCTAGATTTTGTGTTGTTTCAGTATTTTCATTTAAGCAGTTGTTCTGGAGACAAATTTTCAACTTGTTAAATGAGTACAAGTTTAAAATATACATTGGAATTAAAAAATTTCTTTTCTTTTTTCAGAAATTTTTGTATTATGTTCTGAAAAGCAGTGATGTGCTTGAAATACTTGTGCCTATTTTGTACCATCTAAATGATTCCAGAGCTGATCAGTGTAAGTTTTTACAGGATAGTATTTTTATGGTACTTACATTTTGAGCATCAATTTTGATTACTTAAATTTTTTTGATAGCTCGAGTTGGTCTAATGCACATAGGAGTATTTATTTTGTTGCTGCTGAGCGGTGAACGTAATTTTGGTGTCCGTCTGAATAAGCCTTATACTGCCACTATTCCTATGGATATTCCAGTTTTCACTGGTAAGTACTGCAATATTTTTACATCATTTAATTACTAGTAATTACCTTTTCAATGTGAAAGGTGTATGTAGAACCTTAAATGAAAATTGTCCAAAAAATAGTTTAAAATCTAGGAAATAATGAATCTAAAGGACCCAATAAGATATCTGGGGAAATCATTAAATTAGGAGGTGAAGCCATTATCCAGTATCATGTACACCTGTTTCAAATGTCCATCAACAATCAAAGCATCCCACATGACTGGAATCAAGCAATAGTTGTGCCAAACATTAAAGGGTGAGATAGAAAATTACCATCTAGTTAGCTTAACATGCAATGTAAGGGAGACTGTCATCACAAACTACATAAGGAAGGAGTGGAGTAAATCAGGATGGATATATGACAACAACGAATGCATCTGGGCGGGGCATTCTTGAGAGGGTCAATTATTGGTATTAGTACAAGAAATCTCTGATGCAATGGATAGGGGTGACAGAATAGACACTATCTTTAGAGCCTTCACAAAATCCTTTAACCTTGTTTTGCGTGATATACTTATAAACATTGTAGCATCATTAGGCATAGGTAAATGAGTAGTAAATTGAATTTAAACGTTTATTAAAGACTGCTGCAGTATTAAGGTTGATCACATATACTAAGGATTTTCAAGTATAACATCTGGCGTGGTGCAAGCCAGTGTGATAGGGCCACTGATGTTTATAGCCTTCCTTAATCAAACTTTTTGCAGATGATTGCATTCTCTTCAGAAAAGGTACTGAGGAGAAATATCAACAGATACTTCAAGATGATATTGACGCTCTTTTTAAAATGGGTGCACAATAATTGTATGAAAATTAATGCTTCTGAATGTAAATCTATAACATTTACTGCTAAACTATCTATACCAACATGCAACTATTTTCTCAAGTATCAAGTAATTCCATGTACAGATAGTTGTAGATATCTGGGAATAATTGTAAATAGTACGTGAACTTGGAAAGAACTGGTGAATCCAGCATTAAAAATAGCTATTATTGGTGTTAAAATATTCTACCCAGTGAATTCCTCTAATACTTCAAACAAACGAAAATAGTAGCTTAAATTACAAAGTGTAATGCGCAACATTTCATTTGAGATGTCAATTTTATGACAATTTGTTTGTGAGACATACAAAGCTTTGTGAAGTCTACATTTGTAATGAGAAATTTAAAAGGAGGAAGTAAGAAGTCCAAATTTAGCATACAAGTCCAGATTTAGTATACACATCATTGGTCAAACCTTTACTTGAAGCTGTGGGGACCCGAATAGAACTGGGGAAATGCAGAGCATTGAACACGTTCAGAAACAAGCGGCTAAGTTTATTGTAGGAAAAAACATTAAATATGGACATTAAATCTACTCTTGGGTGAGAAACATTAGAGAATAGTTAAGATTGCTTGCTATGCATGGAACATATTTGGGGAAAGGCAAAGCTTGAGAAGAATTTCAAAGAATACTAGAAAAGTCATCATATACTGGCATAAATGACCACAAATTTAAAATTCAGGATGTAGATGAAATGATGAACAAATGTAAGAAAGTTTTCATTTATGAATAGAACAATACGAAATTGGAATAGCTTACCACAAGTCATGTGTATGTTCTTGAAAATTTTAGTTGATTTTGTGCATTATTGAGTAAAATACGTGCAATATTAAAAAATATAAAAACAAGAATTTCTCAAAAAACTTTTGGTAGGAATTGTGCTAAACTACTTTATAAGATGACATAAACACAATATTGCTGTATTCTTTTGTATATTCAAAAATTACACAATTGTAGTTTGTTTGATTTCTCTCTAACACTGTTAATATTCAAATTAATGGCAGTTTGTATTCTTTATGACATTTGTAAGAATAAATCCTTAAAATGTCTTTAAAAGTTTCTTAAAAACTCAAAATTTTTCTGTGGATATGAACTCAAAATTCCACATTTTCAGAAACACTGAAATGCCATTTTCTCAAAAATGGCTCCATTTTTTTTTTTTTTTTTTTTAATGTTTTGAATGGATAGTGCTAAATGAACTAAATAACGTGTCATAAATGCCCCTTTGATGAACTCTTTGTTTTTCAAAATTTACACAAATGTAATTTTTTTTAAATATCTCTCACGTTAATATTTACATTACCAGCAATTTGTATACATTATTACATTTATGAGTTCAATTGCTTTAAATAATTTCTTGTAAAGTTTCTCGAAACACAAAAGTTTTGGGTGAAAATGAGCTTTAAAATGTGCCTTTTCAGAAACGCTCAAACATTTTCTCAAAATGCCCCAAGTATTTTGACGAAAATTACCAAATAGGATGACGTTTTAATCTTCTACAGTAATTTTAAAGACTACCATTAGGGGTTACCGTTAATGGAGTTATACCATTAGGTGACTGAAAAATAGAGAAAAGGTGAAAAAATGTTCTTTGGGCAGTTGGGAAGAGGATTGGGCAAAACCGAAAAGCTAGCCCAGAACAAATAAATTAGGAAATAAACTAGAACAAGAAAGTCTGTGCCATTCTGTAGCACCACTAATTATTTTCTCACATACTACATATGTAGTATAGAGAAAATTTTGGAATGCTGTGATGAAAAACTGCTTTCTCAGCAAAATAAATTGTATTGTAGGACCCTGATACTGAAAAACTGGGTAATTCCTAAATGTAGTAAATTACATCCTCTTACATGTTATGTACTGAAAATCCATGTTTGGTGGGTCCTTGATACCAAGAAATTGGTTGACAGCAAAATGTGCCTCTGCCTGCCTTCTATGAACCATGCTATGAACAATGTTAGTGGCTAAACCATAAGTAGGATTTTCTCCAAAATTGTTATTCCCGATTGATCTGTCTGATTGTGCTACTCCTTGTATTTGAGACCAATGATTAAAAATGGGGGGGGGGGTACATCAAGGACATTTTCAAATTTTTCTCAAATTAAATTGCTCCACATTTTTTTTATTAAACATTGTCCTAGGTTACCATATAGGATGTTTTCAAAACTATCACAGGTCTCTGTTTTGTTGAAATATCTGAAATTGCAAAAGTTAAAAAATATTTTGACATCTTCCTACAACTGTAGTATTGAAGATAGAGATTTTACCTCTGCATGAAACATGTTCTTCAAAATTATGTCTTCAAATGAGTAAATTTACACTTTTTCAAAATATAAATTTCTTTTGTGTAATTTAGAATGAAATTGAGCAATATTAAAAAAAAAATGAAAATAATCTTATCTCAAAGATGGCTCCATATTTTTTCTTAATACTTTTTGTAAAAATAGTGCGAAATGTAGGGAATGAAATGACATTAATTTCATTAAGATATATTCTTTTAAATTTTAAAAATTGCGCAAAGGTAATTTCTATTCTCTATTGTGATTAATATTTACATTCCATGTATTTTCTATACATTATTGCATTTGTAAACACAAGTGCTTCAAATGATTTATTATGAAGTTTCTTGAAAACTCAAAACTTTTCTGTGAAAATGTGCTCAAAATATTGTGCATTTTCAGAAATGTTCAAATGTATTTTTTCAAGAACAGATCCATATTTTTTCAATAAAAGACATATTTTTATTTTACTATTAGGGGACCAGAAACATAGAGAAAATATGACAAAATTTCATTCTAGCACTGTTAGGTAGCAGCTGAGACGAGAGTGGGTCAACGCTAGAATGCTAGCCCAGACTAAAAAAATCTAGAAAACTAACTAGCGATGAGAAAGTCTGTGGCATTCTGTAATACCACTAGTTTGAAATTTTCATTCAAGAGCTACCGCTTAGATCATGTTCAGTTTTGCGAAAGACAACCATGTTCACTGTATTGTAGACAAGACTTTTGGACACATTTCATTAAAATTGATAAAACGTTTTTGTCAACTTATAGAAACCTTAATATTTTAATTGAATTGTAATGTTTGTAATATTTTAGAAGAGAAATATGCTACTTTTTCAAGCAATTATTTGTAAAAACTGCTGTTTTTTTATAAATCATCATTCAATATATATTTCCCTAACTTAATGATATATATTGCTGGTTCACCCAGAAAAATTGTGATCCCACCAAGGTTTGATGATTGGGAAGATTTACAAGTTACTCGTAAAGGTTGGAAAAACCAAACAAGAGTCCTTATTTTACTATTAAGAGCATTTCATCATATTTATATTTAAAATAATAATAATAATAATAATAATAATAATAATAATAATAATAATAATAATAATAATAATATAAATAATAATACTATAAATGATAATTTCAAACATGCTACATTAGTCTGTAAATCATTTTATGAGACAAACCTAAAGTTTTCCAAGCAGTGCAGTGGATTGTCCTGTCCCCATTCCCTCTCTACTTAGCCCATTAGTTTCACAGCATCTTATGACATTTGTTTATTAGAATCAGAATTAATAGTTGCCATTTATACAGTACCTCTTCCTGCTCCGGGTTTTCTTTAACACATGTTGGTAAGTCCTTCATGAATCATGTTTTTTTGCTGAAGCAAACTAGTAATTCTTCCCTTCATCTGAAATACTATTCCATTGCTGAATTTATTAGTTTGTTCTTCTTATCATAACATCCTCAGAAAGGGATTTTTTTCAGTTGAGAGAAAAACTACTGATTTTTATAAATATCAGTTATATAAAGCTTATATTTATTGAATAAGGCTATTTGTTTCTCATGTAGATATTTATGGTTTGCTTTATTAACAATTATATATAAATCCCATTTACAGGCACTCATGCTGATCTTCTGATTGTGGTTTTCCACAAAATTATAACAACTGGTCATCAACGTCTGCAACCTCTTTTTGATTGTCTTCTTACTATTCTTGTCAATGGTGAGTGCCTTCATGATTTTGAATTATTATTTTTCAAACTTGTACACAGTAATATTAAGTGTACACAGTAATTTTTCATAAGTAATACACAGTATTACTTATGAAAAATTTGAAGCATAATGTTAATTTACAAACATACTGCATTAAATCAGAAGTTGCTAGTATGTAGTGCCTTGTGTGAGGTAGATGTTACTGTATCATGCAAATAACTAAAAGAGGGACAACTGACTACCTTGTGAAGAAAACTGGGTTCTAACAATGTCATAACAGTGAGGAGAAACATGTGACTAAGACCATTAATATTAATAGTGGTATTATTTACCAATGTGTCATCAATCTGTTATTTTTTTTATTATAGTGCTTTAAAGTAGAAGTTTTAAGGCATTTAGTAATATCGAAGGATCTGTGTTTACCAGTTGAAGGGAATTGGTGATATCATATGTGATAAATAACATATTGTAGATGATAGCTATTTTAGAAAACATTGCCTAAGCAGGCCAAAATTTTAGGACCCCCAAATTATGTCAATGAATATAAATGGTTTTTAGTGCACTGTTATAAGAAAAATTTAAAATCTTATAGAGATGCTTTTTTTACTCAGATCATGTAAATTTTTTCATTGTAAAATGAGTGTGTTTCAGTTCTAATTTTTAGTGTTAAAAAAGAAAATATTTATTTAAAATAATGAGTTTTCAATCATGTTCCACAATATTTTATTTTAATACCCCACCAAACATTTTTAAAGTTAAATAGGGCTCCAAACTACAGCCACACGTTCAGAACCCCTTGTAATTGTAACTTGAAGAATTCAGGGCCCCCATTACAGGTTTGTTTACTAATGTACATGTTTTATGCATCTCTTTTCTAGTTTCTCCTTACTTGAAAACACTGTCAATGGTGGCCAGTACAAAATTGCTGCATTTACTGGAAGCTTTCAGCACTCCATGGTTTTTATTTTCATCCCCAACGAATCATCATTTGGTTTTCTTTCTTCTTGAAATTTTCAATAATATCATCCAGTACCAATTTGATGGTGAGTAGAATATATGAAGAAATTTGGAAATTGATTCTTTAAAAAATAACACTTTTTTTTTTAATTTTCCCAGGAAATTCTAATTTGGTGTATACAATTATTCGAAAAAGGCAGGTATTCCATTCTTTGGCCAATCTACCATCTGATTATGGTACAATTACAAAATCTCTCACCAAACGAACAAGACGTCATTTACCAAGTGCTACCTCAACAGAAAATGTTAGGGACTTACCAAGTATGGAAGGATCTCATCCAGCATTGCCTGCAGAACCAGGAACTCTCAAAGCTACTCTACCAGATACCCCAGGTAAAGTATTTGCTTTAAACACACAAATATCACTTATAGACAATTTTACCCATGTTCACCGTGAGTAGATAAGTGGAAATTATAAAGAAATAGTAATTTTTAACGCTTTCTTTCCTGGACCAAGAAAAACTAGTTTGTCGTATCACAACTTGGTAATAATATTGAAAAGGATGAATGCCTCATGAATGCATATTTTTATTTCTGCATCTCAGAACGTTTTTTTGCTGAATATTTTTATAATCATATTATATGTGTTTTCTGAACATATCAGGAGTGTGAATACTTTTTTTTATTTCACCAACACACTTCATTATGTCACACTGTCATATTGCACTTAAAGCACTAAGCACTTATGATATTATTTGACTTGGGAATATATTGGAGTAACTCATGTTACACTGTATTTTTAATGAAACAAAAGCAACTTAAAATAATTATTATTTATTATAATTATCTCTCCAGCAGTTTTACTCACACCCTTCTTCAAAATTCCTATGTAACAGTTTTTTTTGCATCTGCTCTCGATCTCCTGTGAAAGAGCAAAGCAGTCTGCAACACTACTACTACTACAAAAGACTCTACAGAAAAAGGGCCACCACCATTTCTTTGCATATATACTTGATCTGAAAGCAAATGCATTTCTTTTGTCCCACTCATGTTCAAATTATATGGTTTCTCCAAATGTGGCCGATTACTTAATAATGTGACTCTATTGAAAGTGCCTTTGCAATTTGACAATATAGTAACAATGGAACTTTCATTCTATCTAAGATATATTTTTTGACTTTCTAGTTCCCACAGACCTCTAACTAATAATTTCTTGCTGTTGAAATAGGACTAGTATCATGAACTCCTAATATATCTTATTGTTGTGACTATCACCAATTCTGTATTAATGTTCAATGTTTGTCCTCCATCTTTGTCCCCCATTATCCCCCACTAAAATGCCATTTTCTCAAAAATGGCTCCAATTTTTTTCTACAGACTTTTAGTGCTAATAGTGCAAAATCAGTTTCAGAGGGCCTGAAATACATTTTGCTGTATTCTTTTGTTTTTTCAAATTTCTCAAATCTAACTTTCTGAAATAGCTGTCATGTCGTTAGTATGCACATATCCAGCAATTTATAAACATCATTGTATAAGAGATTGGAAGTGCTTCTAATGACTTGCAGTAAAGGTTTTTGAAAACTCATTAGTTTCTAATTTTGCATTTACAGTGGCGCTTATTTGACGTTTTCTAAAAAATGGCTTTGAACTTTTCAAGGAAAATTGCCATATAGATCGAGGTTTTACTCTTCTAGCATATTCTTAAAGTAATATTTCGGTTCTATCATTGGAAACCTAAAAATTGAGAAAATTTAAAAAAATGTAGGTCTTCTTTGGGGAAAGATAGGTGGCAGCTGGCAAGAGTATATGGCAAGTCCAGAAAGTTAGCCCAGACCAAAGAAATAAAAACAACTTACTTGTACAAGAATGTCTTTGCCATTCTGTTGCACCAGTAGTTACTTTGTAAGTACTTTGTAAGTTATGTAATGCTGTGGAAAATCAATTTCACGATTTCAACGGAAATATATGTATTGGGATCCCCTGATACCGAAGAAGGTTTTTCAAAATGTTGTCCATTCGTCTGTGAATCATAGTGCCTAAACCAATTTTTTCCAAAATGCATGTTTCCTGGTCGAACTGGCTCAACTTGGAAGTGCTGTGATTTTGAAAAACATTCAATAAAATTTAGTAGGACTTATACGAAACACATTTTAAAAAAAATTCTCCAAAATGACTCCCAATATTTTCTTTAAATTTTTTGACAGAATAGAGTGAAATACACTTATGAAAATGGCGTAGGTCTTATTTTCACGGTTAACTCTGAATTTTCAAAAATGTCTAAAGTTTGAATTTTTTTCCGCTTATTCATACTATTTTGAAATTGATGATAATAGATTTTCTCTAGTAATTTTTTTCTTCATAGTTAGTTCTTTCATTAAGTTCATGTACATTTTTTTGAAACATTAAGTATACCCAATTTTGTGTGCAATATGTATGATATATAAATAACAAAAACAATACTTTTTTGAAAACTACTCCAAACTTTTTATTTAAAATTTTGGTTGAGAAAGTGCTAAATATACCCTATAAGATGACTTAAAAATGCCATATTTGTCTATTTCGTTTTTTCCTTCCTTCTTTTTTTTTTCTTTTTTTCTCTACATTCCCTTTTTTTTTTCTGCCTTTTTCTTCCCTTTCTCTCCTTCTCCAAAAATTACTCAAATGGTTTTTTTAAATCTCTATACTTGTGTATACTAATATTTCAGTGGTGATTTCGTAAACACTGCAATTTGTGAGTGGAAGCATTTCAAATTCCTTTGAATCAATTTTTTCGAAAACTCAAATGTTTTCTGTGAAAGAAAACTTCTAATTTTGCATTTTCAGATGAGCTTAATTTCCATTTTCTTAAAAATGGTTCCAAATTTTTCAACAAAAATGTCCTCATAACAGGAAGTTTTACTCTTCTTTAAGATTCTTAAAGGAATGTTTCAGTTCGATGATTAGAAAAAGGAATAATGGGGAAAATTTTCAACAAACGTTTTTTGGGCCGTGGTAGATGGCAGCTGGCAAAACCAAAAAGCTAGCCCAGACCAAAGAAATTAGAAAACTAACTCCTCAGAGAAATTCTTGCCATTGTGAAGTACTACTAGTTCACATGTGGGATGATTGCGTTTGTTCCTCACCATTAGTACCAAATTTTCAACATGGATTTGACAGTATATAAAACTTGAAGAGAGTGTGATTTTCCTATTAAATATCAAACATAATTAAGATGCAGGAAATTAATAGCTGCAATGTATGCACAAAACCTATTGCAACATTCAAAATTATATTTATTAAAATTAATATGAGTAACAGTACAGTAGTTTTTGTGTAAGTATATGAAAATATTTCAAATTTTTGTGAGAAAATAAAAAACTCATTGTGTAATTATCTACTCAACTGATTAAGTATAAAAAATAACAACTTTTTCAGAATAAAATTTGATGTAAATCAGCTTTAAAGTAGTGGCAATCAACATAAAAAAAATAATGACTGCTTTATTTGCTGAACTAACTCTACTAGAGCATTTTAATGGTTCTTGGGCTTTCGTATATTTATTTTAATTCCTTGAAAAGTTCATCTCATTTGAGCCTTCTTATCCTATTTCTTTTGCAGGTATTGATAAAATGACTGAAAAAGAATCAGCTCATCCATCCCCTCATCAACTGAGTGAACTTACAATTTCTGGTCAGACTAATGGAATTAAAAACAGTGAAGCTTCACTTGTACAAGCCTCTGCCACACAGAGTGTGCCTACATCAAACATTGAAAACCCCAGACAAGGTGATGGAGAAGAAATTGCTAAGTCCAAGAGTGCAGTAAGTTGAACGGATTTTATTTATAAAAAATGAAACAGTAGTTTTTATGTTCTATTGCTGTAAGAAAAAACAATTTTTCTAAAATTAAACAGTTAATGTTGATTTAAATGTTAAGTGTTGACAAACACTGTTGGACAATTATACATTTAGTATAAAGTAGATTGTGTGGTTAAGTTGTTATACTGTTTTCTTTTCAGCCAGTTACACCTGGCTCACCAACACCTTCAATTCACTCAACAGCAAGCACCCGCTCAGCATCAGGTAGAAAACACTCTGAGTCATCAACCAGTGGTGGAGGAGGAATTCCTAGATCTGTTTCACAGGTAAAGTCTGCCTTTATCTTTTGTTCAAATTTATATCCGGCTGAGAGAATATTAGTATTGAAACATTTTCCTTAATATTTTTTTAAACAAAATATATCAGAGTCTACTGTTTGAATTAAAATGCAATTTTAACAATGATGAAATGCTGGATTTAGACAAAAATCAACAAAAGAATAAGCATGCAATTGAAGGTTGTTTATTTCCAATATTGTGAATGTAGCTGTACCACCTGGGGCTAAGAAGAACAATTATTTTGGATATCTGAATTTATGTTTCACTTATGAAAGGAAGATTCCACCGGGATTTATAAAAAGAAACAATAAAATTGAACCAAAAGAAGAATTAAAATAGACCTTAATGCAGAGGCAGGTTGTGAGAATGTATTATCTCATACCTAATAATTTTTTTCATTAATTGTTTTTTCTTCTTCATAAAATAACTGTAAAGTTTTTTTATTACATCTCATATTTAATCATATGAGATGTAAACTGACAACCATAGTCCTATCCTATTCTTAATATTTTATATTTGGACCTTCGTGATATGTTTATGTTGCATAGCATGGTCTTGAACAGATTTTATTTTGTAAATAGTTCAGCTTTACAAACCACAACCCGTTTCTGGAATAAAAAATATTTTTTGTTTGTTTCTGTTTTTACCTGCATTTTCTGGCTTTATTTTGTTTTATGTTTGCTTGGATTGCCTTTGCCCCTTCCCTGTGCGGTAGCGTCAGAGCATCCGGCTGACTGATGCTAATTCTCTCGGCCAGGGAAGCGGATCAGGACAATGGATACCTACTTCTGATTGGGTGAATTCATGGAAGACCAAATTACCATTGCAAACAATTATGAGGCTTCTTCAGGTGCTTGTACCACAAGTGGAAAAGATATGCATTGATAAGTGAGTTAAGTGTATCTGAACAGTAGTTAGATTCTTATATATTCAATTTTAAATTTGCTTGTAACTTTTGTTGTTTTCACAGGGGCTTGACTGATGAAAGTGAAATTTTAAAATTTCTTCAACATGGTACCCTCGTGGGTCTTTTGCCGGTCCCTCACCCAATCTTAATAAGAAAATATCAAGCCAATACAGGTACTACCACATGGTTTAGAACATACATGTGGGGAGTTATCTATTTGAGGTAAGTTTTGACTTCTCTCTC